CAGACGCACGGGTCTTCGCACCAGACCGTCCTGACCAGCGCCGTAAGTGCCGGAAGTAGCTGGCCGGCTCTGATGCTAACAGAGTTATGCTAAACATGACTTTCAATGCTTTGAAGCCTTGAGGTATTCTTGGTGTAGGGCAATTTTTCCTCTGCATTTGACCCATTCTTCAGTGCCACTTGGGCCACTGGCAGAAGCAGTGGTCGCCTCAGTGGAACCCATCTTCAGATGTTGATTCCCCGCTTGTATAGACCTACAGGAGCTCGAGGATTGGAAACCTACACAGCCCACGTGTAAACTCCACTCAGTAGTTGTGCCCCAAGCAGGCTTTGGGGTCACTTCAGACTCTCCTCCCGTCACCCTATAGTTCAAGATGGGGTCTCAAGAATTCCAGCGACTTCGACCCTGCAAATCTCCAGGCCGAGGTGGCGTCTCACCTGCCACTCTGAGACACTCTCCACAACTGTCCTTACGGACATTTTTAACACCTCCTTTGAGCCGTGCCATGTCTTTGCCTGCTCCAAGTCCTCCATCATTGTTCCTGAGCACCTGGTCTTCCCTCTCCTCAAGTCCTTCACCTCCTAGACTTCCACTTAATTCTGCAGCATTTGAGCTCCCTGGGAACCTACGCCAGAATCCTGTTTGTGCACTTGAACTCTGCCTTCTACACTATCCTGCCATCTCTGCTTCAGGACAAGCTCTCCCAGCTCAATATTCCCTGCACCCGCAGGTTGATCAGACTTCCTGTGGACTCTTTCCGCTTCCTGGGCATCAGCATCACCCAGAACCTCAAGTGGGAGCAGACCATCACCGTCATCACAGTGTTGTCACTGGAGCAATGGGCAGAGACTACAGTGTATAGTGAACTTTGCTGGGGGCACTTTGATGGAAGTGCCATCCAAGTTCCATTGCTGCAGGACCTGTATGTCGCCCTAACCAAAGGCCAGGCTGGTTATACCACGGCCGACCCTTCTCACTTTGCACATGAACGATTGGAAAGAATAGTTCTTCCCCCTCTGTTGGACTCCTGAACACTCGCTTTATACTTCTGCCATCTGTATAAAATCATACATCTGGACACTTACATTCAATATAAATTTGTCAAAAATTGATATAAAGTCTAAAATATTTATTACTTGTTACATCATTAACCAAAACAAATTCATAGTTTGACTTATTCTTACTTACAATTGCAATGAGAGAATTCTGATTCTGAAGAGAGTGCTAACCACCAGGCACAGTGTTTTGTTCTTAAATCTGAATTGCTTGTATTTGAATCACAAATTGAATATCAGATCAATGATCATTTGATTGTTTTGCACCATAACTAATTATGCTGGAAACATTCATGATGACAGAATGAAGAATCATATTGTTTATTCTTGATCAAACTTATGGCCACCACAGCAGTGTGTATAGTGAGAGGCGCTTATGTTGTGACTCTGCAGCTGTTTAACTTTAACCATTGCAAAGGAAACTACTTTCTTCCCTCCTCATTCACAAATTCCACTGCCTCACTGCTGAAATCCATTTCCCAAGAGCACACAAGCATGAAACACCCAAATAAATCAATAAGTTATGAGAAAAAAAGTACAGTTTATACCAGAGGAGCTCCGGTCAATTGACCGCAGCAAGATTCACTGTGTGTGTATTTGAGAAAGTTCTCAGACAAGCCGCACAGCTGCTCGCGGCGCTACAACAACACAACAATTCCATACAATCAGCAAACTATCATCTTTTCCAACTTTACAGCTTAAAATGAGTCATCTGCACTTGTAATTGTATAGTGGGGATTTTTCTGCTAAAATATGAATCCATCATATATCAAAGTGGCTGCCGTCAGTCACCGTCTTCGTATGTCCTCTTCCAAAACAGCTACTCTGCTTAGCCCTACCATGTTTTGTATCCATGACTACGCTATCACGCACATGGGATACTTCTATGATGTTAAAATGAAATGAATTAAAATCCTAAAAATAAAACAAAGCCTCTCTGATGATTGGCCAATCAAAATTAAGATCAATATCGACGAGTGACCTCCACATTCGACTTTGATTAATATCTCTCCAGATTTGTTTTGCCTGTGGTCTGCGTAAAGTAAGTGCTTGTAGAGACAAGCAGTTGTATAGTTTACATTTTTCTGTGTACTTCACATTATCTACTAAAAAAAGTGTTGACCCCCAAAATATTTGTTATATCTCGTTTCCTGTTATTGTCGACATTTCAAGATTGAAAAAAACTTCTCATCTTGTCTTCTGCTCTCAGCCTCTTGGTTGTCCTCAAATGGTTCATGTTCATCCCTCTTCCCATCCTTTCACCTTTTGTGAGTTACACCCTTGACCAGATTCTTTGTTTTTCTGCCCACAAAAGGACACAGAAGAGCTGAGAGTCTCTGTGCCAACTATTGCGGTGCGTTTAACCTTGCAGAGGGCAAGAAGTGACGTCACAATAGGAACACTTTTCCCCCTGTACACACACGGATGGACACATACACACATAAGGCCTGCGCACTCCGCCCACCCTCACCATTGTTATGTATAGTGTTGCTAATCTGAGCCTGTCGCTTCAGTATCAAACATAACCTCTGTTCTGGGGGGGTAAGGCCTCTTTTTCTCCTGTTTTGTGTTTGTGTCAGGGTCTATATGCGCGTTAGTGTGTTAATGGGCCTAGTCAACAGCACAGTACAATGGGCGGGCCGGCTTGAGATGCCTGTTTAAGTGTTGGGATGGAAAGAAGGATAGGGGTGAGGCGGGCCAGACGAGAGCTTTGATGTTACAGGGAAAACGGCTTGTAAATGCACATGCACATTTAGAGGGAAAGTGAATGCTGCATTTTACTTGAAATAGCACTCAAGCAATAAAGTATTATTGTTTTTATTTTTGTATAATCAGAAATAAATTATACCTATTGTTTGGTGTTGTGTATGCTTCTGTAGATGTGGTCATCCATAAACCTCCGCAACATGGCAAAGCTGCATTCTGAGTGTGTGATCTGAATTTGTTTTTGTTTTTTTAACAAGGATAGTACCCCCAGGATTAAGTCTCACTTTCAGGAGGGTCACAGCCCCAGATTATATACTATTGTACCTGAAGGGGTAAGGGAAACCAGAACCCACAGAGGGAATCTTTGCTGTAAGAGGAAAATATGCAAACTCGTCTTCTTTCTGTGCCTTCACTGCAGGTTGCAGGTGCCAAGTTGATGGAAGGGTGTAGCTCCTCGTCCTCTGGTTATCAGACATAACCCACTGTCCATCCCATGAGATGAATGGTCCCTTAATATTCACTGGCTCTGTTTTTGAGTGTGCGTGTGTGTCACCCCAAGAGAGCTGGGTGTTCATGGTTCATTAGCCACACATACACTTCCGTTCTGTTCTCACCGGGAGAAAAAACAGATCCACACACACAAGCACACCCAGTGCATTTCTGTGTGTTAGTTATGTTGTGCTGGCTCTGATGAACTGGCAGACTGCCTCCTCTCCCTCTTTTCATATTGGAGTAATCAGGACACCTATGAGACAGACAGGTAGCATCTGTCGCCTTTCTCTCGAGTGATCAGTCCTCTCAGTTTTGCATCCCCCTCTCCACTACTGTGCCCACTTTAGCCAAAGTCTTCGCAAATACTTACTTACTTTTACAACTTTAGTTATTTTTCTAAATGAAATTAATTTTTGGAAGCTCACCCATAAGCTTTCTTCCTCAAGGCGTGGATCAGTAGAGCTAACAGTTGCCCTAAAATGGCGGAGGCCTCTCTTGAGTCTGCTACCATCTGCTTACTGGGCTTCCGTTTTTTTATTTATTTTTTTCAGATCTGCAGGGCTGTGATTGAGCAGCTCTAATGGTATGGGTTTTGAGCAGGGCCTCCAGGTTAATTAGCATATTTTGAGCCAGCGCACAGACAACAGCCCACCACCCGCCCCACCCTTGACTCTTCTTCCTCTCCTGAACGCCTCCACCCATGTGTTTGATTCCTGGGCCGTGACAAAGAGCTTCACCCTTTATTCGTTTGTTGGTGAGATGGGGGTCCCTTAGATTAAGGGAAAGCTTCCTGGTCTTTATGTGTGGAGTCTCCCTTGGGAGCTGCTTTGGGAATGACTTCAGTTGACTCATGCCACCTATTCTGCTTTCCTTGCTCATAATATCTACCTATAAGCAGCAAACACTTTAGTGATTTTCATGGCTGCTTTTTTGCTAGAAACCATGGTATGAACATATTCTAATAAAATGTGTAGCTGGAAGTATTCTAAAAACTCTGTTGTGAATTGCTCCTGTTGGTACATTGGTCATAAACGATACAAAGCAGTTGGTCAGCCGGCCCCTAACTTTGTAACAATTTAAATCAAAAGTTCATATTGAAATATGGTCAAGGATAGGGATGTCACCATGTGATAATCAATTTTATTTACCAATCTGGTCTTCTCTTGTATAGGATCATATCATTTTATTTTATGTCACATAATTGATTGCAGCTGCACACCCAGGTCAGTGTCAGGTAAGAGATGTGCTAAAATGTGAGAGTAGAAGTCGGCTGTGTAGAATTTTAAAAAGGTGAACGCAAGATGAGTAGGTGGTGAAGAGGAGACTGTAATATTTGATTATGGCTCAAGGCTGTGTATTTGTCCAAAGGCTAAAGACTGTCAAGCAGCTAATCGCAGAGGTCGATGTAAGGGTGTCTGTATGTGCACAATGTGGGTCATCTAAAGATCACATAATTTATGCTGTTTACATGTGTCACTGTATTTGTGTATATGTTCGACTTTGTGGATGTCAGTTACAGTTGTGTGAGTCTGAGGAGAGAGGACTCCCTCAGGGCACTGTTAGTGCCACTCTTACAGATGTGCTGCGCAGTGGCAGTTTCACTGTGTTCCATTTACAGGAAGAACAGCTCGCTCCTCAGGGTGCAGAATTCTGCAGCTATTTTATAGTGTTATAAAAGTTCTGAACCTTCCTCCTCCAGGGTTTAATTTCTAGAGGCAACATTGAAGTATATTTTCTGTTTTCTAGGTAATGAAGAACTGGGTGGCAGTTGGAGGATATCCGATAAAGATATACAGGTTTTCTTGACTAAATACAAACAGTACAAATGTGAAAACTTATGATAATTAAAAGATTTTGTTTTACAGGCCCAGATTTTCAATAAAAATAAAGGAGTCAGGCCTTTTGTGCAGAGAGTGACTAGTCGATATTATACAGACAAAAACGTCCACTGTAAAAACTGCACAAAAACTGGTCATTTGTCTAAGAACTGCCCTGAACCACAAGTAAGTAGACTTCAGAAACAACATAGTCTCAACTTAGTATAGTAGAACATCGTGGATATGTTTTTGTGTTGCAGAAGATCCCGCCATGCTTCTTATGTGGAACTGTGGGCCACATTGTGAGCTCATGTCCCCACAAGCACTGCAACAACTGTGGACTTCCTGGGCATCTGTTCAACGGCTGCAGCGAGAGGCCTTACTGGCACAAGCGGTGCAATCGCTGCGCCATGACTGGACACTTCTTTGATGTGAGTTGAAATTCACAATCTGAATACTCCGTTCATGTTAATTGATACACTTAAGCAATTACAGCTTATTTGTGTCTCTTGTATCGTTTTTGCCTGGGCAAAAAGTATATGTGAATCTATTGACCATCAATAAGTTATTCATTTTCAACGTTCATTAACTTGCCTATTGACAATCTACTTTAGAACAGAGACCCTTGTTTGCCAGTGCCTCCCTACACCTCCTCTGGCTCTACTGGCTCACAGTCGGTCTTGTACTGTTCTATGTGTAATGGATGAGTAGCCAGGTGAACAGAAGAGGGACTGTGGAGACCAGGCCATATTGGTCCTCTCACCTTCTCAATCCCTCTGCTTTTTCTACTTATTTGCATACTGTTTTGATGAAAAAGTTGTGTGTTTGTTTTTGGCCATTGTAATTACCTTCTTCTTGGAATGCATAAATTCGCCGTTCCTCTCACAAATGGTTAGCGTGTGTGAGTGTGTGTTGCAGAGACAGAGTCAGGTCTCTGTCCCCAGGGCCTTTCTGTGTCTCTCATTAAAGACAGACGGTTGATGGAGCGCGAGTATGTTGCTCGCCTCGCCTGTCGCCCTCAACAACAACACACAAGCCCGCTGGTCTGGGGGGAACCATCTCATAGAAAGAAGTGACTATGGAGGGGGTAGTTGATAGAGAAAAAAAACTTGCTGGGAAGTGAGCAAAAACCTTTTTTATTTTGTTTTTTTTAAAAGATCCGGAAGTGGCAACTCTCACCTAAGGAATACAATAAAGTTAAAGACCTGTGTAGTTTATTCAGGTCAAAATCCTCTCATTTTCCCTTACTCAGTAGGTGTGTAAGCAGATAAATCTTGTTGCCTGCGGCGACGGCGGCATTTTCAATTTCCCACTGGAAAGTGATGGCAGTTGAGGAAGGATGTCGGAACGCTTAAGAAACAGCGTGGCGAAGCTCCAGAGATAATGCTTTAGATACACCGGGACAGAGCGATTGTCTGCTTTATTTACTCCCTTTTCCCTTGACTGGGTTACTACAGGAAAACTGAAACAATAAGTTGGGTTGTTAGGTCAAAAAATTTAATAAAATCACTGACCAGTATTTTCCTATTTAATATTCATATTTGCCAGCCTTTAAAATGAAAACCGCAAAAAAGTAACTGTCACTTTGTGATTTTCTTTTTAGGACTGCCCAGAAGTCTGGAGGCAATACCATTTAACAGTGAGTATTCTTTGTCATTTAAATGTTTTGAATTAAATACTGCTCCAAAATTCTGCATCTCTTTCTCATTGGTTAATGGGGAAAATGTCAGTGCAAAAGCTTCCCTGTGGAGATCTCGTATACACATTTTTAAGATTGAATTTAAGCAAATCTACAGATAACATAAAGTTATTTTCAAACAATGAACATTAAAGCTTGTTGTCTTGCCTAAACAATGGTCTGTTTCCGTCACTAGAGATTATAATGAAAATATACAGCACCATTGTTACATTTGGATAAGTCTGAGAGTAGAAATTGTGGCCAATGTCCTAATTAAATAGAGAGAGAATTGGTAAGAAAGGATAGAGGGCTAAGCCTGCCGCACTCACTTTTAAACCAGTGACGTTTAAAAATATATATATTTTTCCCAAGCAGAACGTGTTCTATCAGAGTAAAATATTAAGTAGGACATAAGCATGTTGTAGAGTTTTATCAGGGGTCCACGTGCATTTTAATTGGCAGAATCACTTTCACATGAATTTAATGTTTGACCCTAACTTCAGTTTATTAATATGAGAGTATGATTTAGAAGTGAAACTTCAGTGTTTTACCTTCGGCATGTTGGAGGTGCCATGATCACTGAAAATCAATATGTTGGTTATGACTGGTATTGACCTTGCCTGGTAGCAGATGACTGAACCATGGAAGCAAATGCACCACATGAGATTAGAAAATTGCCAGGAGAGATGCAGCCTTTTCCCTCTTTCTTTCATTTTCAACCTTGGTGCACATGTGGCATCTGTGTGGGAGAATATGACAGTATGTCAAAAAGTAGAATGGTGTAACACCACATGGGCCATATGTCAACAGGGGTGGATTTGCTTTTTTGTGAATTCCTCTGAAAAGTTTCAGGCTCTTTATTGCATGCATGTGTGTCTGAGCAGACTGGGGTGATATAGACCTCAGTCTAAAAGAAAAGAGCAGCTTGTTTGTCAATTAAAAGACGTGATAAAGCATGAAATGGGCTGCCAGCGCCACACGGGACGAGGCAGTGAGAGAGAAGGCAAGACGAGTGTGTGTGCATGCATATATCTTGTGCGCACTTTTGTGTGTGTCTGTGTAGGGGGAGGTCTGTCACTCTTCTCTATGGAGATTAATTAGCAGGGGCTGTCTAATGAAAAGGCAGCATCGTTAGCACACAGATAGCACTGCGGGAGAGTGCACAAGGAAAAGGGGGTGACTGAAGTTCCAGCACTGGTGCTGATAAGTCAAGTTGGTCAGTCCGATAAAGACACAGGAACTTAAGAGCACTTCTTAGGAATGATGTGAAAATTTCTCATCCGACATCCTTCCTCAACTGCCATCTCAATCTTTATATGATCATCATTTAGGCAAATATTACACACAACTTAAACAACTCGAACTTAAACCCCAAAAAGGACAATGCCAATATGTGCACCACTTGGCTTGTCATAGTAAGCATTTTTGATTGACAACATTTTGCTTCAGAGGAATGAAATCTACTTCATGACAGTGACGATAAAGCACAGATTTAAGAATTCATTCAAGTTTTATTGTGTTTGACAGAAACTATATTTGTTTTGCCACAATTGCAAAATACTCATATCATGATTATTGACAACCAAAAAATATTGCATCACAATGGAATAGTGAATCAATATAGTAATTATTATAACGGGCCGAGTCGCATCAAAATGTCCACATTGTTGATGTTTGTTCAATTACACTTGAAGAATGAAGAGTGCCTTGCCTCTGTGGATCCTGTGCCACATTGTTTGGTTCTGTTCTGGGTTTGTTGAGTTAGTGTGTGTGTGTGATGGCATGGTTTAACGGGTGGAAGATTGTGACCTAGGTCTAATTGAAGTATTTAAGCCATTTAAGCACTGTGAACAGAAGGTCGTTACGGATCCAAACTGGCATGGGGTTTAGGGGCCTGCACACACAAACACCACGTACACAGGGTCCTTCTGTTTAAGATGGGCTCATTTTATTCATGATGCTGCTTATGACCCTGAACTCCCCAATGTGAGCGGCTGTGTGTGTGTTCGCTTTGGGAGATGTGACTCTGTCACCTTCCGCTGGGCTCAGCCAGGTGTGAAAAGGCATTCTGTCAGGCCGCGCTGTGTGTGTGTGTCTTTTTTTAGTAAGCTTGTGTGTGTGTGTGTGTGTGTGTGTGTGTGTGTCTCCTGCACCTGGCCTTAACCAACAAACTCCTCTAAACCACGTAGTAAAGTCCACAAAGCCCCTGGGGATTTCTTCATACACACACAAATATTTTAAAACAAAACATATAGTCATTAATATTCTTGTTTAATGGATGTAGAATTTGCCAATATATTGTAGATTTTCATTTCGGCAATACAGATATCAATGGGTTGAACTACCAATTAATTGTTCCCCTCCGTCTGACATTCTTATAGGGCTCTCTATTATATACATATGTCTGTACTAATTAACACTGGTTGATTTAAACAAAAGATTACAGATGTATTTTTCCCATCAGGGTTGATTCTTACAACAGTATTTTTTTGTGTAAATTGTCGTAAAAATATAGTTTCTGGTTCTAAACCTCAAGCACATGTGCCCAAGTGTGAGTGTGGGGCGGAGCCTGGTGACAGACATGGATGGAGAGGCATCAGTAAAGGCCACAGTGCAGGTTGAGTGACCTGCTGTCTGTACATTGCCGCATGTAAAGATCATTCATAAATGCATGAGTTCTAGGCAGTGCCCAGAGCTTCAGTCTCTTCCCCCTAAGCTCTGTGTGTGAGTCAGGCTGGCTGTGGTGAGAGCTGATTGAACTGCAGGCTTCTATCCCAATAGGCTCTCTAGTGGAAAGTGTTATTGAAAGTATTAAAAATAGGAATTTCCTCTCTCTAAAATATTGTGGATGGATATAAGCAAAAGATTCACAACTATCATACTATCCAATATCAAAAATCACACAAATCCTAAATTATAATTGAAATATAAAGCATCAAAAATTATATCATGCATTTCAATCTTGTTCTATTATCAAATATTTTCTACCAATGTGATTCTATTTAGATTATCATAGGCAGATTCAGTGTTTGCATGGCATCAACTTCCCACATTGTACTTTTTGCATGCCTTTTGGGAACGGAAGTTGGGGAAATAAATGTACCTGTGTGGCCTTGGAGTGATTTCGGAGCGAGCCTGAGCGAAGGGCCTCAATCCACAGAAACACCTGAATGTCTGTTTATTGATCGTCACAGTGAGCAATGCGTTTGTACAGGATTTTCACCTCATGCTAGTATCAGCACATGTATCGATCACTTCCTCAGGTAGAAGTAGGAGCTGGATCTGTGTGTGTCACGTATTTTAGTCCAGAAATGAGGGGTAAAAGTTGTAAGTGACCTTTTTGTTCGTCACAGGAATTAAATCCTGCTGCAAACTCCCCTGGGTCCCTTCTCACATCACTGCCCTATTCTCCACTTTTACCTTCCACATTTTCAGCTTTTTTGTACCACTGTTCTTTGGCCGCCACTGTCTTTCTCCAAAGGGCATGGATAATTCACATACACTTTTGTTGAGTTAAGATTAGGAAGTATTCTTCTTTTATTTCTGTAAACGTCATCATTTCTGTGCTCAGAAGAAGTACAGTTAAGTATTCAGCAAACCTATGTACTAATCCATTGAGAAAAATAGAATATGAAGTGTGGTTTTCTTTATTTTAATTTTTCCCTAGTTGATCAATTCAAAATGTATCATCCCATTTTCTTTCCCTTTTTCAGTCTGGACGAGAAAAAAACAAGGTCATGAGAAAAATATTCCATTGAATCTGTCATTTTTAGTTATTAAAGATTTGTATCGGCTAATTTAATTGTAGCTTGACCTTTTTGGCTGTTTAACCATTATTAGACTACAGTTTTCTATATACGTTGAGACAATCGAGATTATTAATTTTCCTACAACTCTTAATTTATCATGAAAAATGGTGGGTTGCAGTCAGTTCTTGTGATGGATGGATTGTGCGTTGGGGTTTTGGGGACTCCTGGTACACTGTGTTCTCTGAGCACATTGTGACTGGAAGAGGAGATGGATCATGTATCACAACAGATAAACAATGCAGACTTTCAGAGCTACTGTTAAAATAATTCTAATTACATGTACTGAATGTGATACAAAGAAGCGTTTTGCATTTCTTAATTTCATCATGAGCATAATGTGTGTCAGAGTGCAGCACATACAAAGTGCAGGTTAACATCTGCACAGGTCAGAGACGAGCTCAGAGGATGGACTTGGAGCAGCCTCTAGTGGCCAAGCAGAATACTACATCCCGTTCCCTCTGGGATTTGGAGTTTATGTCTGATCTTGTTTATGTTGAATTAAAGGAAGGTAATAGTTTTCTGTTTTTGAAGCCCCTTACTCTACCAGTAATTTTTGAGTGACTTTTAATGTCACACACATTTTCCTAAATGCAATTCCCTGCAAAGTTATGCTTTACTGGTGCATTTAAAAAAAGAAGAAAAACAATGAAACGGTTCATGGTGATCAGTAAAATGTATCAAAAGAATTGAATCCCATTTGATTTTCTTGGCATTAACAATTGTTTCATGTTTTACTATCCATACCTTAAATATGGTTATTGCTATTTGATTGCTGATCGACTTTTAAGATGTTTGTAGTACCATACTGTACACACAGATTTTCTATTATTTTTGAAAATGTCAAACCATTATCTTGTCTGGCTTATATAGGGACCTGTGATATATTTAATATTTGTCAATTTCCTTTTTCTGGGTCACACCAATATGTAACTTTCCTTTTGTCTTCTTTCTTTTTAATCGTGTGCAGTCCTCTCACAAAGAATCATAATTAAATACTTAAAGTCAGTGTCCCTGAAGCTCTTATCATTGTTCTGCACTGTCCTGTCCTATTTGAGTAAGAGAGAGATGAAAGTCCAATAAGACCATGTGGCCTTAGTGTTTAGTGTTAGTAGTGTGGGCTGTGAAGAAGAATCAGAATAATGGGAATATTACCACTTTATTATTATTATTTTCATAGGGAACTCCCTTGGTGATGTATAAAAACTTGTTGGTTGCCAGTTTTGTGATATATAACATATTACTACATACAAACTAATCAATAGAGAAGATGGTTTATGTTGGCCAAATGCATCAGCTTTTTGGGAGCATTGTTAGGCAGATTACAGGGTAAGTTCATCAACAAACACAAGCTGATTTATGAGAATAAATGGATTTTTTTTGTCATTTCCTTGTTACCATTTTATATCCTTGTTACTCTCACTTCTAACATGTTTTACAAAGGGTTTCTCAAACTTTTAAACTTGGACAAATATTGGAAACATGGATCTTGCACTGGCAACTTTGTGAAATTAAGAGTTGTGTATTGGCCTGCATCAGAGTGTGGCCCAGGTTTTTGCCACGGTTTGAGACTGGCTTGTTGTTCTGTAGCGTAATGCAAAACCATAGGACTGTACACATCGGCGTCCCGCGCCTCCACACACACAGGTGCCGTGTTATCAGAGGGCTCCCAGACTTCTCACTTCTTTGTCCCTTTCCGCTTAGCTGGATGGTGTCGATGGGGCGCTCGTGCAACTTAAAAGCCTGGTGCATTTGTGAGTTTAGTGGGATTTGTAAATTTTGGACCTAACAATTATTTTACCCTGGCAGGAGACTTCATCTGTCCATCTCACGTGTTTAGTGTAATTCCCCATTCCATGCCGTCCATATGTTATCTCCGTCTAATTAGATTTCCAAAAATGTGGCAAGTGAATTTAGCAGTGAGCCTGAACTTCTAACTTGGACCCAGGCTTGAATAGATTGTATGGCTTGTATCCCCTGTTCCGCTTGTCACGGTCTGACCAGATTACTCGTCGTTGTTCCCAAAAGATTTTTTTTTTTCTCCCGGGGTGGCACCCAGAGGCTTTTGTCCCCTTGTCACACTATCACACTTGTGTAGAGTTTGCATGTTCCCGAGTCTGGTTGGTTTTCTCCTCATCAACCTGAAATGTGTAGGTATAACTTTTCCTTCACATTGGAAGGTGTTTAAAGATAAGATTAAATGTTGAAGTTTGCTGATATATTGCACTAAATGTGAATTGTGCCATTTTAACATTTACTAATCTTTCAAATATCTTGTATGTAACCTTTTCACTACATCCATGCACTTAAAAAACATTGTGTGTCTGAGATGGGGAAAAATCATCTATTGCCCTCTTTAGTCTGCACCACCTCTTCTCATTGTAACCTTGAACAATCATTGGCTTGTTATAGTGCTCCTAATAAGTTGTTGGTTTTTTAAATTGCATCCTTCACAATCCCACATGATAATAAGAGGATTACCCTCATTGTCTTTGTTTTCATTTAGGGCACTCTGAAAAGATGTTCACCTTATAGGCATTCAATCTCACCAATTCACAACAGTCTAATTAGCTTGGCAATAATATGTACATACTGGCATGTTGCACAGGCGCAGGAGGCCTGTTTGTTTTGGTATGAGCCCAGCAGTGTTGCGTTGTTCCCTATGATAAACCATGCCGATTGCTTCCCTGTGGGTCCAGCAACATATGCAAACCTCTCCCCACTGCTGCAATAACAAATGCAAAACAGTGCCGCTGGCCCCCCACACTTGTACACACACATAAACATACACAGTACAAGCCTGTTTGCTCCTCGGATTGAGTGTGATAACTGTATGCGTGTTCCTTCAGATTGGAGCTGGTAACAGTCCGAGCTTTGTGTTGGCCCAAGGATTATCACAGCTTTGCCACCGGCAGCCGAAGCAGGGAGCAGAGGCGAGATTGACTTAGAGAAACAGTGGACGTGAACTGTGGGAAACTGTGTGTGTGTGTGCGCGCGTTTGCAATACACTCGCAACTTTTTCTTCCACCCAATCATGTATCAGCAGAGTCTTAAGTTGCGTCCAGTCAAAATGAAGCTACATTTGCATTGGCTCTACATGTATTTTTTTTCTGTAAATGGAATTGTAAAGTTACAGTTCTACAATTATTTTTGGGTGGGAAGAGATCAGCAATCCTGGATCAGCCTTACAGGAAAACCCATTCATTGTATTTTTATACATCTGTTTTATGCTAAGACAGACACATTTTTGTAATCTATATTTTGTGGAGTCCTCTTTTTGTGCATTTGCTTATTATGGAGATTTAAATTCCTGAAAGAAAAAAAAGACAAATTAAACACTTAACAGATATGATGCTAGCTATTTAGATCTTCCTGATAGAATGACGAATTCAAATTAGACTGTGAATTAAAAGGGTGAAAGGTTATACAGTTAATTAATATCATAGAAGACCCTTTCTCTAGAGCCAAATGCACAAGGATCACAGGGTCGAACAGTCAGTCACAGGTTGAGCAGAGAATAGGAGATTTCATTACTGCTCCTTTACACTTTGATTGTGTCTGTAGGCTGGATCACAGTATTGCAGATAACGCAAGCCCAAGGTCAGGAGGAGGCAGACCTACAGCCAATTTACATGAGCGATGAATGGGATGAGGAACTGCTCGGATGGAGGTCTGGGTGGAGGGGGTGTTGAGATGGGGACGGTGATCTCCTTAGGGTGCATTGCGTGTTGGTGTGCTACTGTGTGTACGCAGCCACGCTCACAAGAGGTCTGTGATCTCCTGGCCTTTGTGATGGAGATGGGCCCTGGCCGCCCTGACCCGATAATGACACAACGCCCTAATAGCATTCAGCCTTTCTGCTGCAAAATTACTCAAGCGGAAAAGAAAGAGAGGGAAGAGGGAAAACATGTGTGCGGGTGCGTGTGGGTTGGAGAAGGGACTCTGGAAGAACAGGGGAGGTTAGCTATGTTTAAGAAATGACAAGGACACAAATGATTTGTAATCTTGGAATCAGGACTGGGGCATCTTGGCTTTGGGAATAGCATTAGGTGTGCATCTGAAGGGAGAGACATTAGAAGTAAATATGCCTTGGCCTGCCCTTCTTCTTTATCAGTGTATATTTGCTGGGTGCACTGGAGCGTGGAAGGCTTTCAGAACTGGCCCAAAGGGGACTGGACCCAGTGTCCAATACACACTCGCATGCACACACATAGGTTACTTATCATACTGGGTCATTATAGGCCTGACTATAGGCCCGGTAATCACTGGTTGATATCTCCACGGTATTCCGGATACAATACATGGCATCCCATTTCATTAGACAGCAGGGGAATGACGGCAGAGAAATTAGGCTTAAATAATGGGTTCTATTAGCTTCTGCTGACACCTATCTTCCTTTCTCTTTAGATTAAGGCGGGGCCTCCTGTAAAACACCAAAGAAATGGACAGGGTCAGACGCCTTACTGCTACAACTGTGCCAAGAAGGGACATTATGGACATGTGAGTATCTGGGATGTTTGGTTTTGGATTAAATGTATGCATATTCTGTGGAATCTCTTAATTTTCTCATTTAACTGAAAAGAACTATATATAATTGTTCGTGAATATGTGTTTATAGGAGTGTTCCAGGCAGAGAATGTACAATGGAACATATCCCAGCACGCCTTTAATAAATCACTACGACACCATATATGACATAAAGTGCAGACAACGGCGGATAGATCAGAAGACTCGAGGTATGTCTTAGAAATATACTTTCCACATTGCTGTTCATGTTTAATGTATATGTATATTTTCAGAGCTGAAGAAGTTTACTCCTCATTTGCCTCAATCCACCTCAAGCCCAGGACCTCCAAGGAAGAAGCAAAGGACCAACCTTGATTATAGAAACCACAGATTTCACTCGAGCCCAAGCTTCAAAACTCAACTAGCCGCCTCAAGCCACATTTTTTTCAGTGACACTACAGATTCTAAAAAACACAAGCGGCAAAAGCACAAAGCGGTCTCTTTGGAAAAGCCGTGGAAACCCAAGCGTCCAGTCCCTAAGTCTAAAGAGACTGCAATAGTTTTAGATGAAGCGGATGACTTCCCAAGAGGTGGAGGTCAAGGTGAGGAAATTGAAAAAAAGAAAAAAAGAAAAAAGATGAAGAAAAATGGCCAATCACTTTGTTGGACAGATACAAGCAAACAGGCCCAACAAGTGAAAAATGTAAAACAAAGAATAAAGAACAAAGCAAAGAAGACCAAGAAAAATAACTCTGATAACCGGAGTGACGAAAACCTATTTAATATTAAACAAAGGAAACGTAAACATTAAAACAGGAATTTACGATTTAATTATGACTAGCATTGTGCCTGAAAATTTTATTGTTCAAATTCATGGATCTAGTCCCATCTTGTTAACGTGAGATGTTTCTGGTTTTAAAACTCTTACATTCAAGATTTATTTTCTGAACAGACAGCACCTCAATACATCTCTCAGCGTTTGCTTGGACTGTGAGTGGGGCACTGACATTGTTTTCTAACATGCAGTATGTCTGTATTAATTTACTTTCAATAAATACTTTAAACATTTTTGTGGCTTTTTTGTTGTTGTAATCAGAATCAGAATCAGAATCATTTTTATTGCCACGTAAGTAACAGGAGGTCACAGACTTGGAATTGCTTGGTAATTGTGTTCATGCTGTGGGTGATAATTATCCTGAATGCCCCCATTTCTGAAAAGCTTCTGAACTCCCCAACCATCGGTGTTCCGGACCAAGACAAGCGTCAGAATCTGGAGAAGCATCCCTGGGACACTCGTGACCACAGCTCATGGGTCTCCGAGCGGCATTCAAGCAGATGCTGACATGAGCTTTTACATTCATTTAAATGAGGAGCTTAATGTTTTGGGGTTTATATACATATATATTCAAGGACACATATTGAAATAAGATTGCAGAGGATATGTACGTGCAACATCTTAAATAGTAAATTAATTAAAGAAGCACGTGGTGTCGGTACACGTGACGTCACAGTAACGTGCTTCTATTCGCAGCGCTGGAACCGTCGCCCGGTAGTAACGTTAGCATTAGCGCCACTGTTAGCTTAGAGCACCGCAGCTGGCTCAGTGAGCTGGAGTCTGGACACTGGACACTGGAGCGTGTCTTCACATCTACATTTACTCCTTTGAACGAGACCCGTCTTTAGTCTTATCTGAGGACCACGCACGGCGGAACCAGGCTCGTGAACCAGGATGGCGGAGGGCACTAAAGGCGACAGTGTACTGGACTCTGCTGTCAATCAATGGCTCCTGTATGATAAGGTGAGCTGCTAAGTGTGACGATGAGGGATACATTATAATCCATGATTGATACATTTACTACCATTTTAAACAGCGACTTGGTCACTTCTTGACATTCAGCTTTACCTCATGTTTTCTTTGTCTCTGTTCGTCTGCAGACATAACACACATTCTATTTACCATTTACTGTTTATTTATTTATTGGTTTCAGAATTATGAAAATGCGGGCTCTTACTTTTTAGTGATCTTTTAATGTTTGTATCTTTCGAATGAGAAATGTATACTTCATTTAGCATGTAAGTCCTTAAAAGCCATGAATATACTTTGAGATGGATAGATGCTATAAATATCATGTAAACTCCAGTGACATTTGCAGCACAGTCATTCATAACCTTAAAGAGGCAGGCAATGCTCCCAATCTGGTCACATTGAAGTGAATGGAGTTAAGACTTGGATAGTTCTTGGTTAATCAAATAGGGTCCGCTTTTAAATTGATTCTCAGAGAAGCAGTCACAAGATCCACTTAATGCAATTACTGTTAAATTTAATCACATCTGTCTTAAATTTTTAAAATGAAAATTAATTGAACTGTACTTTCTTGCTAAATCGGAATTTTTATTGTGTTTGTAGAACCCAAAGACGGCAGCTATGATTCAGGAAATGCGGAATCAGAAAGATGTTGAGGCACTTAAGAAATGTTTTTCTTCCCGGATGGAGTTTGGGACTGCAGGGCTGCGATCTGCAATGGGCCCTGGCATCTCTTGTATGAATGACCTTACTATCATCCAGACCACACAGGTTTGTAAATGAACAGGCTGCCATACCAAATTAGGAACTTAAGTCATATGCCAAGTCATGCTACAGCAATAGGGACATTGGTAATGCTTCATTACGCTGATGTCCTACTGAACATGAAGCAAGACCTTTTTTTTCTACATTACCATTTATTTTTTGTGTTTTTTCAGGGTTTCTGTAAGTATCTTGAGGTGATCTTTGAGAACCTCAAGGAGCGAGGTGTAGTAATTGGTTACGATGCGCGGGCCCATCCTCCCACTGGTGGTAGTAGTAAACGTTTTGCTACTTTGGCTGCAACGGTCTTTATGAGTCGGGGAGTTCCTGTTTACCTGTTTTCTGACATTACACCAACACCATTTGTAGTAAGTAGTGTAAAAATAAATATATTGACATACATGTACAATATAAAGTGAGACAAAAAGCATATAATAATCACACTTTTGCAAATATAAATTGGGATTATGCCAGTCATGCTAGAAATATATGTGTGATAGGCACAGTTTATCTTCACAATAATAGATTTTTTGTTAATTTTGAATGTTTCTTAAGGGATTGATTTACTTACTTTTTTCCCACTACAGCCATTTACCGTCTCACAGCTGGGACTTTGTGCTGGTATAATGGTTACTGCCTCTCACAACCCTAAACAAGATAATGGATACAAGGTAACTTATCTGTTCTGTATTTCTTCACCTATTGCTGTGTACATTACATTCACTTATCTCATGCTTTTAGGTTTACTGGGACAATGGCGCCCAAATTGTATCTCCACATGACAAGGGCATCGCCAAGGCTATTGAGGAAAACCTTGAGCCTTGGCCAGAATCGTGGAACACAGACGACGCACAGAAGAACTCTTTACTCAAGGATCCCTATCAGAATATCTTCACAGAGTATTTCAAAGCTATTCAGAAACATTGTCGCCACAGGTGTTGACCCACTTAGGCTTTGAACATTACTGTATCTGAGATTATTCATTTTAACTCGCATGCACATTTTCTTTGGCAGGGAGATTAACAAGAATTCAGAGGTGAAAATCGTCCATACTTCTGTGCATGGTGTTGGCCACATTTTTGTCCAAGAAGCATTTAAATCCTTTGAACTTCACCCTCCATATGCTGTAGAAGAACAAAAAAATCCAGATCCAGAATTTCCAACTGTGAAATATCCCAATCCAGAAGAGGGAGAGGGTGTCCTGGTCTGTCCTCGTGCACTTTGTTGACAAATAGCATATAATTCAGATCACCTGCTTGTGTTGACGTCTCTCGTGTTTTGAATTTTCTAGACCTTGTCATTTGCACTGGCAGACAAGGAAGGGGCCACTGTGGTTTTAGCCAATGATCCTGATGCTGACCGGCTGGCGTTGGCAGAGAAGCAACCGAGGTATGCATAGTGTGAAAAATCCATGGCCAAAAAACAGAGAACCAGCAATGGGTTGATTAGGGCTGATAACTCTCCTGTACTTTTAATGAAACATTTTAATGAAGAGTGTATTTAAAGTACACTGCTGTAGATGTAATCAAAACTAGAATTAAAAAAAACTGTTAGTACAGTCGTTACTAGATATAAATACATTGTAACCAATATCAAACCTTCTTCAGTGGGTCGTGGCGTGTGTTCACGGGGAATGAATTGGGTGCCTTGCTCGGTTGGTGGATGTTCTATTGTTGGAAACAGCAGAGTACCGATGGTGCAGTGAAAAACCTCTACATGCTGGCAAGCACGGTTTCTTCTAAAATATTGCGGGCGATTGCAGTGAAGGAGGGATTCCATTTTGAGGTAGGACATTTTTATTCTTTTACCTGAATAATTTTAAGTTGAATTTGCTTCAGTCGTCTGCTTTTACACTACAGGAAACACTGACTGGATTCAAGTGGATGGGCAACAGAGCCAGGGTTCTTTTAGACCAGGGAAAGACTGTTTTGTTTGCATTTGAGGAGGCCATAGGTATGTCATCATACCTGTCATCTTGTGAAATCGTTCATGTGAGGTAGTTTTCTTCATGAAATGATTTACATTTCAATGGAAATATACTGTATATATGATAATTTCAAAATATTGATAATAATGCATCAACATTTTTATCTTTTGACATAATATTAATTCATTCTGTAGCCGCAGCTGCCCTGGGGTAGACATGACTCAAAGCAAGGATACCATTGTGAGCCATGGTTCCGTCTGTCCAGCACCCGTCTTTAATAAACACATCACATTCATAATTAAAATTCTGTACTTCTGATCTCAGAAGTGTCTGGTTCGTACTGCGATGCTGGGAATTCCAAGTACCACAGTGCGGCACTAAAGTGCTGCTGTCTCGAAGGCCGTCAGAACTGTAGGCTGGGAACTGGTTACCGGTTCACAGATCCGGGACGGTATCCAGGATTTTGGGTCTCATTATTGCATGAAACAAATGGAGTGAACGTGAGTGAACAACAGTGCACTGACCACAGACAAAAGTCAAACTGGACACAGATGCCAGACAAAGTAGGAGAGGGTAATATGGCTCAAGGGAAGCTATGGCTACGCAGTAGTAGCCCATTACAGTGTGTGGAATTATTTAATCATGTAAATCAGAGTATCTTTCACATCCACAAACCGGCGAAAGGACACAGAAATTATCTTAAAAATACATACAATGTAAATTGGAAGTTTAAATACACTGTATAAAAAATATCCATTCCATCCATTTTCTTCCGCTTTATCCGTTGCCGGGTCGCGGGGGCAGCAGTCTAAGCAGAGACGCCCAGACTTCCCTATCCACACACACTTCCTCCAGCTCATCCGGGGGGACCCCAAGGCGTTCCCAGGCCAGCTGAGAGACATAGTAAATAGTAGACATAGTAGTAGTAGTCTGACTTACTGCCGGCAATGCGAACACAGCTCTGGCTCCGGTCATACAGGGATCGGATGGCCCTCAGCAGAGGACCTCCGACCCCGTACTCCCGGAGAACCCCCCCAAAGGACACCCCGGGGAACACAGTCGAACGCCTTCTCCAAATCCACAAAGCACATGTGGACAGGTTGGGCGAACTCCCATGAACCCTCGAGTATCCGATGGAGAGTATAGAGCTGGTCCAGTGTTCCGCGACCGGGACGAAAACCACACTGCTCTTCCTGGATCCGAGATTCGACCATCGGCCGTAACCTCCTCTCCAGTACCTTCGAGTAGACCTTACCGGGGAGGCTGAGGAGTGTGATCCCACGATAATTGGAACACACCCTCCGGTCCCCCTTCTTGTAGAGAGGGACCACCACCCCGGTCTGCCACTCCATTGGCACTGCCCCCGATCGCCACGCGATGTTGCAGAGACGTGTCAGCCAAGACAGTCCTACAACATCCAGAGACTTTAGATAGTCAGGGCGGATCTCATCCACACCCGGAGCCTTGCCACCATGGAGGCTACCAACCACCTTGGTGACCTCAGCCAGGGAGATGGATGTACCCGCCCCAACATCCTCAGCCTCTGCCTCTGTAACGGAGGACGTGACGGGGGGATTGAGGAGAACCTCAAAGTATTCCTTCCACCGCCCGACAATATCCCCAGTCGAGGTCAGCAGCTCTCCACACGCACCGTACATGGTGTTGGCAAAGAACTGCTTCCCCCTCCTGAGGCGTCGGATGGTTTGCCAGAATCTCTTCGAGGCCGACCGATAGTCATGCTCCATGGACTCTCCGAACTCCTCCCAGTCCCGGGTTTTTGCCTCTGCAACAGCCTGGGCCGCGGCACGCTTGGCCTGCCGGTACTGGACAGCTGCCTCAGGAGTCCCCCGAACCATCATGGCTCGATAGGACTCCTTCTTCAGCCTGACAGCATCCCTTACTGCCGGTGTCCACCACCGGGTTCGGGGGTTGCCGCCGGGACCAGCACCAGAGACCTTGCAACCACAGCTACGAGCCGCCGCATCGGCGATTGAGGCAGAGAACATGGTCCACTCGGACTCCATGTCCCCCTCCTCCGCCGGGACCTGGGAGAAACTCTCCCGGAGGTGTGAGTTGAAAGTCCGTCTGACAGGGGGCTCAGCGAGACGTTCCCAGCAGACCCTCACTATACGCTTGGGTCTGCCAGGTCTGACCGGCTTCTTCCCCTGCCAGCGGATCCAACTCACGACCAGGTGATGATCGGTTGACAGCTCCGCCCCTCTCTTTACCCGAGTGTCCGAGACACGCGGTCGAAGGTCAGATGATACGACAACAAAGTCGATCATCGACCTCCGGCCTAGGGTGTCCTGGTGCCACGTGCACTGGTGGACACCCTTGTGCTCGAACATGGTGTTCGTGATGGACAAACCGCGACTGGCACAGAAGTCCAACAGCTGAACACCGCTCGGGTTCAGATCAGGGGGGCCGCTCTTCCCGATCACCCCTCTCCAAGTGTCACTGGCGTTTCCCACATGGGCGTTGAAGTCCCCCAGGAGAATAACGGAGTCCCCGGGCGGTGCACCGTCCAGTACCCCTCCCAAGGACTCCAAGAAGGCCGGGTACTCTACACTGCCGTTAGGCCCGTAGGCCGTCACAACAGTGAGAGACTTGTCCCCCACCCGGAGGCGGAGGGACGCGACCCTCTCATTCACCGGGGAGAACTCCAACACGTGGCGGCTGAGATGGGGGGCAATGAGAATGGCCACCCCAGCTCGCCGCCTCTCCCCGCGGGAAACTCCAGAAAAGTGGAGCGTCCAACCCCTCTCAAGGAGTTGGGTTCCAGAGCCCAAGCTGTGTGTGGAGGTGAGGCCGACTATCTTTAGTCGGTATCGCTCAACCTCCCCCACGAGCTCGGGCTCCTTCCCCCCCAGTGAGGTGACGTTCCACGTCCCAAGAGCCAGATGTTGTGTGTGCGGACTGGGTCGCAGAGGTCTCCGCCTTCGACTGCCGCCCAGTCCTCTCAGCACCGCTTCACCACGGACCCCTCTGCAGGTGGTGGGCCCACAGGAGGGACTGCCCACGTCATCCCTTCGGGCTGAGCCCGGCCGGGCCCCGTGGGCTAAGGCCCGGCCACCAGGCGCTCGCATACGGGCCCCGACCCCAGGCCTGGCTCCAGGGTGGGGCCCCGGCTGCGCCATGCCGGGCAACGTCACTGTATAAAAAAAAAAAATATATATATATATATATATATATATATATATATTTTATTTTTTAAATATATAAAAAAAAAAATATATATATATATATATATTAAAAAAAAATTTTTTTAAATTACTTTCTTAAAAAAATGGCAATTGCATAAGTAGTGACTGCAATTCTATGTCACTGGTGAATTAAAGGTGAACGGTCCTGTACCTTCATGTTATGCTGCTTATCGGGAGGAAGCACACTTGCGCGTATCCGCGTTTTTGGTGACATTTAATCAATAGCAGCTTAGATTGACATACACACACTGGCCATATGCATACATGTGCTCAAACCCCCCAGACTACAAACGGCCCAAAAGAAATATAGCTACCCACATCCCCTCGTTTTCTCATCTGAATGTCGGTGTCTGCCATATTTATAGGGTGCCGGGCAAACCGCCAGAGCTCATGTGACTCATGCTCCTCCCCAGTCGTTACCATAAAACAACAAACGTTATGGCTCTCACAATTGGGATGGTTATTACTTTTCTCAATATTGTGGAAATTAACCAATGGACATTTGGTCATTTATTCTTACCATAATAGACTAAATTACCTGTCTTGTTACATAATTATGTAAAATTCCCACTGTATATTTTGTAACTTTTGTGCAGCTCAGTAAATTAGAAACGCATTATCCAATTGACAAATTACCATATTTTTATTATTACCAGTGTAATCAAAATCAGTGCTTAGTTGCTAGGAAACAAAGTTAAATGCATTCCTGGGGATTTCAGGAGTTCATTAATTGGAGCACTCTCATAAATGCTGTTTTAATATAGCTTATTTAAATTGAAAAAACCTTGAATTGTTCAGTTTCCAATAGCGTCACACATAATGCTTCATTAAATGACTACAGCCGTGTCTGTTTTCTTTTTACAGGTTACATGTGTAGTACTTCTGTGTTGGACAAAGATGGTGTGAGTGCCGCAGCAATAGCTGGAGAAATGGTTTCCTATCTGGCAACCAAAAATATAACTGCTTCTCAACAACTTACAACAATATTTAATGAGTAAGTATTAATACAAACCTGCCATATAAAAAGTGTATTTTTTGGCAGATTTTTACCAGGGTTTGCGTTTACTGTGTTTACCTCTCAGCTATGGCTACCACATAAGCAAGAACTCCTACTTTATCTGCCACGACCAAGTAGTCATTCGCAGTATGTTTGAACGCCTGAGAAACTATGATGGGCAAAAAGACTCTTACCCGACTGAGTGTGGTCGTTTCTCAATCACCGCTGTGCGAGACCTGACAACGGGCTACGACAGCAACCAGCCAGATAACAAGGCGGTGAGTGAACACAATACTGCAGCTGCGTAGTAGTGGTAGTGGTAGTCAGTGTTGTGCGTGAACGAGTTCAAAAGAACGCGTTCATTGAACACGCTCATTTTTTCGTGAACGTTGAACTGAACGCAACACTTTTTTTTTTAAAGAACTTGAACGTGAATTAGTTCATTTTATGTGTCATGAACGGCAGACATCACTATGAACGTTGGAATCTGTTTTCTCTTTTGAAACGCAACGAGAGAAAGTTCCTCCCTCCTGTATTCTCGCACTTTTTCCGCCGAAATCTAAAAATTCCTACGGTTTCCACCGTCTGTGAACGCACCCCGACTCTGTTGCGGTGCGGCGCTGTGAGCTGGTGCTTTTCACATGTGCCCAAGTCGTGATGAAAACACAGGGTGAGTTAGCGACAAAGTTTACACCGTTTACATTTGACATAAAGTATAGACACACGCACTGCAGCGCATTACTGTCTGTAGTTTATGAGCAGAGATGGGACCACTCCAGGAATCAATTGGATCAGAGCTTCTGAGTTTTGTGTTGCGTTCATTCTATACTGACTTAAACCTAATCCAAATCTACATAATAGCCCTCACCTGAGGCTCTAACAGTTCAGGAACTGCTCTCGATACTTGAAATAAATCATGCTCTGATCTTTCAATTTCCTATAATAAATAAAAACAGAGGAGAAAATATTGAATTAGAATCTACAGTGAGTAGCTCACTACATTGTTTGACATATACGATCAATCTCTAAAAACAATTCATAGTCCCATGCATACCTACAAAATTCCAACCTCACCTGATGCACTGAAGGGCCTGTTGCTTCTACCTCAACATTCCCTATATTGTTCTCTTTTGTTGGTTGAGTTTCCTATGTATGTTAACAGAAGATTAATCATCACAATTCATAATTTGCTATTACTTGTGCTTTCGCTTACTTACTTTCCAACTGTTAAAAAAGCTCCTGATATCTTTTATCTTTTTTTGTGGAGGTGGCATTTTTTCAAAATTATATAAGAAGGTATAGACAGACATTCATATACATGAACTGCAGAATCATTTATATAACTTGGCCAATGTCAAAAGTTACATAGTATTTCTCAATACAATGAGTTAACAAGAGTTTGGCAATAAGTAACAGTGTGGATTTTTCTATATTTTCTTTTTTTTTATTCCATTCTCAACCCAAAAAGGCAAGTAATGACTCACAGGGCTCTCAATTATGCAAAATAAAAACTTAAATGACCTGTTGTGGTGTGTTTTGCGCACAACCAGCATGCATCGTTAACGCAATGGAAAATTTAGGTATCCGAGCTTTAATTTTGGGAGCGCTGGTTGCGCTTTGGGAAGAGTCAGGGGAGAGACATGTCAGAGACACAGGGGAGAAACGGGGGAGATACGAGGGAGACCCGCACTTGCAACATGGTTCTGTCTGTATATGGTCCGAGCTCGGTACCATGTTAGAGCTGTGCTTTCACTGAGCGCCGCGGCTGTCATTACAAAGCGGCAGCAGCTGCACCAGGACGTGCACATTCGAGTGCATCGCTTGAATGTGCTTAGAGCAAATAACAGCAAGTGCCCGCTGTCACACATTTCACAGAAATTACATTATCAGCAGATAAAGGTTGTAAATCGTGGATCCGTGGAATATTTTCATCCCTAGTTTATCCTGATTCACACAACACACCCACTTATACATTTTGGATAGTAAGAGCACAATAAGTATTTTCTCAGCCTTTCAACCAACCTGTTTCTTTATTGGAGGCAGTTCTGTTCTGTCTCTGTGCCGTGTGAGCTCCTCGGAACATTAAACAGTGCGCTGAAAGATTAGAAATAACGTAAGTACTTTGAATGGTAATAGATCTACAGTACTTTCCTCTGATTACTCACGTGCTACAACGCTCAGGGAAAGAAAAAAAACACTTGCTTCACGCTGGCTAACTTTTAAAAATTAAACAGTTGCTCAGTGCTTCAGTTTGGCGCTGAAGAAGACAGCCAATCACTGCAGAGAACGGAACCGGTCACGTGCTGCTGCTGCTGCTGTTGCTCTGGAGGCGAGGAGGAGGCGCGACGTATGCACAAACGGAAGACATGTGTCCCGGACCGTCCGGGTCACGGGACATCATGTCATTTTGGTGGGGACTTTTTAGTCCTCACCAAATATTGGTGGGGACATGTCCCCATGGTCCCCACGCAAACCTACGCCCTTGCTACAAAGTATTAGCGCAAGGGGGCCGAATAATATTGCACGCCCCACTTTTCAGTTTTTTATTTGTAAAAAAAAGTTTAAATTATCCAATAAATTTCGTTCCACACAGATATAAAAATAATTTTTTATATCTTTATGTTTGAAGCCTGAAATGTGGCGAAATGTTGAAAGGTTCAAGGGGGCCGAATACTTTCGCAAGGCACTGTACATACTGAAGACTTACAGAAAACGTTTGAGCTCTGTCATTACCAACAAAGGGTATTTAACAAAGTATTGAGATGAACTTTTGTTATTGACCAAATACTTATTTTCCACCATGAATTGCCAATAAATTCTTTTAAATCAGACAATGTGATTTTCTTCTTTTTAAGTGGGATAACTTGCACACTTTGGCTGACTAAATACCCTTTTGCCCCATTGTATATAACAAATACTGAGCTTTCTCCAGTTTTTTTATTTAATGTCTTTTTACTTATTTTTTTAGATTCTGCCCACCTCCCGTTCAAGTCAGATGATAACTTTCACATTTTCCAATGGTGGAGTTGCCACCATGAGGACCAGTGGCACTGAGCCTAAAATAAAATATTACACTGAACTGTGCACTGCTCCTGGAAACAGGTGAGTTGGTAAAAGGCTGCACTATCTCATCATTAAGGTCTTTAAGGCAAAGCTTTGTTTCTTCCCATATAGTGATGTGACAAGTCAGAAGAAGGAGTTGGATGAGTTGGTTGATGCCATCATTGAGCATTTTTTCCAGCCACAGAAGAATAAACTGCAACCAAAGCCACAGTAGCACAAAGTTGCAAAGTTTCTCAAGCTGCAAAATACTTCATTCAGTCTATGACAGCTGACAAGATAATTGATGTTTGTCGTAATTGTTATCATTGTTGGACAAAACATTAATTATACATACTGTTTTAAGTAATTGTTGGCACTCATTGTTGCCTCACTCTGAAATAAATATTTAATGCCATATAGCCTATTCTATTAGTGTATTTAGGATTACTTTTTAAAATAAAAACATAAAACAATCTTACGATTTTTTTCATTGTCATTAATTTTTCACAAATATTTGGTATTTGACTTCAGCCCATAGGAATTGTGATAAACAGTTTTTTATGATTTTTTTCCCCACGATTTTACTTTTATTTCTTCTAGTTCTATTTGTCATTTAGATTGAATGAAATCCTGGTTGACACTTTCTGTGACCCATTTATTGTTGCTATATCAGCTACATGCGCTTGTTTTAAAATATTAAGGACTGGTTTCATTGCACCAAATAAGACTAAAGTCATATTTATTTAAGTAACTCTCAGGGACTCATTGTCCATTATGCATTTAATCTGCAGGAGTCTTAATTCAACATTTTCTAAGATGCTAGACTGTCTGGAACAAATACAACTTAAATTCTCTGTACTAGCAATAGCAGAGACATGGCTTTGCACTAAAGAACATTCTTCCTTGTTCCACATCGAAGTGTATCATGCATATCACTAAAGTAGAAACCAAAAAGGTAGGTGGAGTGGCAGTGTATCTTGACCAGAACTTCTAAAGACCGCGGTAAAGTGGCCCCGAATTTCGTCGGCAGCGGTAAAGAGGTCCGCACTTTGAAAGCGGTTGGCTCCATTATGCTGTTACTTACGGTAAACGTTGAAAGGGAAGCCGCGACGAAAAGCAAGCAAAATGCAATTTTATTAATAAAATCATTAAAAAAGAACAAAAAGAGTTTTGCGACTACTTTCACTGCACACTTGTTCACTAAGATGCCCTCTACCACTGTGCAAAATACCATTCACTTTTACCGTAGAAATTCAGAGAAAAGTGGGGTCAAAATGTGCCATTTTGGTCCCAAAAGCACTTTTTAAAAATCATTTAAAAAAAATCTAAAAACGTTCCCTGACTACTTTCACTGCACACTTGTTCACTAAGATGCCATCTACTACTGTGTAAAACATCATTCACTTTTACTGTAGAAATTCAGATAAAATTGGGGTCAAAGTGTGCCATTTTGGACATCACAGTGAACAAGTGTGCAGTTTTCTAAAAAGTGCTTTTGGGACCAATTGTGCACATTTTGACCCCAATTTTCTCTGAATTTCTACAGTAAAAGTGAATGATGTTTTATACAGTGGTAGAGGACATCACAGTGAACAAGTGTGCAGTAAAATTAGTCAGGGAACTTTTTCAGATTTTAAAAAAATGTATTTTAAAAAGTGCTTTTAGGACCAGTTGTGCACACTTTGACCCCAATTTTATCTGAATTTCTACAGTAAAAGTGAATGATTTTTTTTATACAGTGGTAGAGGACATCACAGTAAATAAGTGTGCAGTGAAAGTCTTCGCAAAAATCTTTTTGTTCTTTTTTAATACATTTTTTTTTTTAATTGCATTTTGCTTGCTTTTTGTCGCAGCTTCCCGTTCCACGTTTACCGTAAGTTACAGCATAAAGGAGCCAACCGCTTTCAAAGTGCGGACCTCTTTACCGCTGCCGACGAAATGCAGGGCCACTTTACCGCAGTTTCTAAAGTAACATTGTTAATAAGTGTTTAATCCTAGACAGCATGTGTCACTGTAGAGATCGAGATTGAAAAATTGAAAAATGACACCAACATGCTTAGTTGTGGTAAAAACCTAGAAATAATAACAGATACAGTTGAAAAAGAATAATTGTGAAAGAAGTGGTTTGATTCAAAAAGTTAACCCTGGATAAATAGTTAAATGGATCCATAAAAGTGTAGAAATTTAAAAAATAAATGAAACAGATAAAAATAGTGAATGAAATGACGTGAAAAAAACGTAGCTTTTTCTAATGAAACCTAACTTTTGTTTATGATTAAACTTATTTTTTGTTTATAATGGAACTAGTTTTTTATGATGAAACTTAACATTTTCTTCATAATGGAACTTAGCTTCATGTTAAACTAAATAGTATAGCTGAACATTGCCACCTTTTTTGGTTTTGTAAATAGGGATAGGTGCAATAATATTCTGCCTATTCCATTTCAGACATAATGTGTATACATTTTCTATTTTCATGTAATGAATGTTAAAATGTATGTAATGTTCAAAAAGAGCATAAATGCTGTGTCTCGTGCTGTTGCTTTAACGTCTAACAATGATGTAGTTGCTAGTGTTATTAGTGTTGTTGTTATTAGTGTGCATGTGCACATTTGACACAGTTCATGGTTGCAGTTGTCCATGCGAGCCGCACGCGCCTGTCATGCTCCATCTTCATGCTGGAGGAGCGCAGGGGGAGCGCAGAGGGACGAGCCTGTCTTCTAAATTTAACTTGTACTAGAGGCCGCGGGGCTGGAGCTCGTCAAACTCTTGCTTTCTGTGTTTCGTCTGCATGCGTGTGCTGCTCTGACTGATCATAACCCTTTCTGGTCAGCTTGCATCGTGCACAAAGGTAAGACGCGAGATCAAACGGGTTGAAAATCTATATAGTGTATTTCTGGTGAGGTCTCCGAACAGCTCATGAGTTTTTGTTTTATCAATAAAGTCATTCTAATATGCAACATAAATGAGATGAGTGATTTAATATATTTGATGATGTATTACTGAATAACAAATGCTGATCTGCTGCACTGTAAGTGACCACAGAATACCTGTCATGTCCTTGAAAGAGTAGGTCAGCCTCTAAGCCCACGTGTGTCATGTGTAAACAGCAGCTGGTAGCAGTATCCTTCAAGTGGCCCTCTGCCTGCATCAAAGCAAATATCCTTCTCTGGTGTTTTCCAGGTGGATCACAGTCTATGGGTGGATCACATGCACACAGGACACAATGGATGGACTTTTCTTTGAGGTGAAGCCGAGAGCCCGTAAACCACCAGTTGAGGCCTGTCTCCACTCCAATCACCGTTCATGTCCCTCACTCTTAACCCTCAGCTCTTCTCCAGTGTGCTCCGAGAGCTTTGGTCCACAGAGAACTTCCTCATGGGGGGATGTGGCGGAGGAAGAGATACAATACAGATTGCAGCTGATAGACTCTGTGCCTGTTCACCCCCTGACCTCCATGCCCATGCTGCCCTGGGTTGTGGCCGACATCATGAGGTCCAAGAGGGGTCGATCCTCGGGGAAAAAGACCTCCTCATCTGGAAGTGATGTCCTGTTGTGTGTGTCTGCGTCATTGGTGAGGTGTGTGTCGGTGTCGATGGAGGGGATAGAATGGCACCCACTAAGGCACACAGTCCTGTTTGAATGTCGGCCTCACCAGGTGACCAAACTGCTTCACAACAGCCAGGAACCCAGCAGCTTTGGATTTCTAATCAAAACCTCTTCGACGTGTGCCTGCTATGTCTTCCAGTGTCATGACACTGCCCAGGTATGTATAAAACACAATAATTACATGGCTGACCATGTTTCGTCCGATCTGGACCATAACAAACATGTTATATTAATAACATAAGGAATCTATACAAATATCAATAAAACAAGACATCTTGTTCATTAGGTGCCCTGGCAGGAGTCTTTCCTGTTGGTGAGACATTTGATCATTTATATTTACAGTCTATGATCATTACATACATGCATTGCAACACAATCAGCAGCCAAATGTTACAAATTGCAGGAAAGCAAAGGTAAACAAATAACTTGGAAACTTAGTTTAGTGTCTTTTTAAAAAACAGGTAATTGGCTCCAACCATTGTATTTATTTATATTAAAATGCTGTCAGACATATGGGTAGTTACAGTACAAAGCTTGCAGCTGATGTGATGCATACCGAGTTTATAGCAGATGCTAATTAGTATTATTAGTCATTTGTATAATTATGACGCTGAGGCTAGTGAATTAGTTAATTGTGGTTAGATTAACTCAGATAACCTTTCAGCTTAATGCACATATTTTACTGGGATATTCTCTGTTGGATGGTAGCAGATACAGTCTATGGTAGAGAGTGGCCATCGAACATCTATATTGTTGAGGCCACCATAGGTCTTGCCTGGTCTTACCATATCATATCGTACTCATTTCTAATAATTGTCCGAAGCTTTCGGATGGCCAAGCCCAGCCTACCATGGATCTATATCTATAAGAGTTTGAGACCAGCCTTCATATGAGACCACCGCCTAAACGTTTGCGGCAGAGGAAATGTTTTCATAGAGCGCTCCCCTCTTATTGGAGAACAGTGTAATCAGTTTATCAGGATTCAGCTACCGGCTCTTTCAAAATAAAATACAAATGCGCGCCTTTCACAAAACAATTTTTATTCTGAAAGCGGAAGTAGCGGTGATCTCCTGTGTGCACGTTACTTACCCCAAACGCTTGACTTCTGGAAGAGCAAATCCAACTTTTGAAATGAGGTAACCACGGCAGGTTTCGAGGAGGTGTCCAGGATCCCAACATTGTTTTTGTAAAGTTTATGGCGAATGGGATGAAAGCGCGACTCCAGTTATTAAGCTTGTTTAACCCCAAACAAGAGCCCAAAAATGTGAGTCAAAACCAATGGATTTGTTTTTAATCTGGAGTTGCCATGCTAAGTAGACGGCTAGCTAGATGTGCTGTGCCGCTGTCTAAAGTTAGTGCATCATGTTAAAATTGGTATTATGACAAGGAAAAACTTGCACAATGTATGAAAGTCAAGAGCTAAAAGATGTAGATGCTTGTCCAAAGCGTTTCTAAAGTGTGTCAACGATACTCGTGACATGGTTGAAATGTCTTGACCCATTACACGTGTCATTGTCACTCTTTATTTAGTCGGTATTTAGAAATATATATAATGATGTATTCTTAACCAACAAACTTTTCACCTTTTTATATAGCTGTAACTGTGTGTGATTTCAACCCGAAAAATCCATACTCTTCCAAAAGTCACGTGACCTCGAGCAGACTTCTGTATGGATCTGACTGTCATACTCTTCACTTTACTTTACTTTATTCATTTAAATTCATTTAAATTCAACAACACATTTGGAAGCATTATCTTACGAATTATCTTACTTCTCTATTTTCTAATGTACATGGCCCTGAATTTGAAGTTTAAAGTCTGTATATATTCACAATCCACCAGAATTAGATTACCTGCTCAATATTTTGGACTAGTTTGAACTTTTAACTGTGAAGAAACTACATGAAATTCCAGTCTGTTCAGCTCCTTTAAACAAGAGACTCATGATGATAACTCCACACACGTCTGACTACGTCATACAGACCATGAGGAAGTTCTCTATGAACATTAACAGTTCATATGTTTTGCTGCTTACCTTTTATAAATACTGTACTTAACATACATGCTTGAGTTATACATGTTTCTATCAACAGGTTGATCCTGCTGGATTGATTGTGTTGACTATATGAAAAAATGTAACTTATCTTACGTTACTAATGAAAAACAATTTCAAAACAATTTTTTTTTTTTTTTTTTTTTTATGACCTTTGCATGTTTTAAAGTTTGTCAATCGTAAACAATAACTTTGTGATTATATTCTCATAATTTTTTCCTGAACTGTGCTGTCAAACGTCTGTCAGTTTGTGCAGTAATGCATTTCTCTGGTTTATGGTTTGTGAGCTGAACTTTGATCTCTTGAATGTCTCCTCCGGTCCCGAACACATGACTCTGGGAAACATGCGCTTTTCTTGGCTGAATGTCAGTGACATTCCACACTGTGATAACGACCTTATTTTCTCCCAAATGTTATCTGTTAATTTTTTAACATGTTGAATAACCTCTAAGATTAACCTTTTCAATCTATTAATGTAAACAACAGTTTTGCTTTATTCAGTATGTGTCCTGCCTCAGTTGACAGTTCTGTGTGGAAAAAAGTTTTGCAATTGTTTATTTTGTCAGAAAATTGGGATTTAAGTTGAGCCTGCATTTTGGATGAATGATGGTGTTATTGGTGTATTGTACCACGTCAAACCTTATGCATATCAATTCTTAACTTTCATATAATCAGTGAACTCTGTTTAGTCTTAGTTTAGTCTTTAGTTGAACCTGGTTTATCGGGAGAGATAATTTAAATCTAAACTTAATCAGTATGGTGTAGATTTTCCATATTTGACTAATGTGCACCAACAACATTGCTGCCTCTGTTGTACAATGCTACTGTGTGTGTCATTTCCTCCTTTTCTAGGTCAGCTCTACAGAAGTCCTATTTATTTCAGTCTTGAGAAAAGTTACTAAGCATTTTCAGCCATAAAAGGCCAAGAGTGTGGGTCACTGCCTGGGGCCGTCTGCTTCCTGTAAGAGATTGACATGTAACTTCACAAGGATTTTGACCAACAGTTATAGTAGAGTGTTGTATATTTTAGTAACATTTGCAATCTGTGTTGAATGATAGAAATACATTTGTGTACAAGTAGTATATTTAGTTTTAGATTGTACATTTCAAATCTATAAGTCTACCTCACATGGACTTTTCTCAATCTGGACATACATGGAAAGTGCATGGGTTAGATCATGTACAATTATCACAAGTCCCAATCAAATGTGCTGATTGTACATAGACCAATTCTATTTTTATTATTATTTATTTATGTTGCATTGTATCATCTAAAAAATGTCTTTGACTCTGAAACCAATAATTTTCTGGTCATTTTTGGTTGTACCCTTGTGTTGTTGAGTTTCAGTCATGTGACTGGGGCTTCTTCTAAATGGGAGCAGGAGGGTTTCAAACAAATGATACAAATGATGTATAAGTAGCTGCTCAGGTATGTGGGGCAGAGTGTGCCAGTCGCTCGCAGAGGTATTGTTTTTCCTGAATAACGCAATTCAAGCTTCGACAAGATACAACCTGCATGTGTGAAGAAGTGTGCACGTGTGTGCGTGTGTTAGTTATCGTCTGCGTTTGTGTGGCGGCCACAGTTTCTGCTATTTGCTCCTGTTTCCTCCTTATTGTTCGATTGCTCTAACTGATGATAGTCAACGGCCTCTTACTTTAATTTAGTTTTAAGTATAATTAACACACTTTATGCAACTGCATCATTAGTTCACCAAAATGTCTATGAAGTTGTGACAAAGACGTCTGATGATCCCTCTTTTAGGCTTGTGAACACAACTTACACAGCTGAGACTATATATTTTGTCCTTAGTCAGCAGCAGAATACAAGTTTTTATAATGGTCTAAGGTCTTCATCATGGTCCCAACAGGAATATACTTAGTGTTTCCTGGACCACATGCTGTGTTGTGCCACAGAATTGTTTCACAAAGGTACACATTGTAAACTAATGTATACTTTTTGAGAAGAATCGACTTTCCTAATAATTTGCCAAATGTAGCTTTCAGATGTGTTCGAAGAAAGTTGTGCTACTTTGTTCAACTGGTGTCCTTTAGTTTTTCAGTAATTATCAAAGCCACAGAAATAACTGGCTTCGACCTTGCTGGAATCTTGGCTGATCACAATCATGCGGGCTGCTACATTCTTTGTTGTCACAAGGATCGTTTTTGCAGAGTAGTATTGTCAAAGATACTCTGTGGTATGTGACAACACAAAGCCTCAACCAACATTTTTATTCTGTCTTGTATCTGTTCAAATTTATCATATTGCTAGGAATGGCATGAATTATAGGTACTCATTAAACAAAGAGCTTTATGAGATGATGATTTTGACATTACAAAGTCTATTTTCAAATCTCAATTTCTTTTAATGGCCGATATTTTTATATATTTATTTTATTGCTAGGTCAATTGGATTTTGCAAACGAAAACGTGGGTCAAACGTGGGTTTATTTTTAATGTATAATGCCTAGATTACTATTGATGAAATTGTCATTTTAAAAAGGAACGAAAAACATGATGAACATTGTGAATACTGATTTACGAATTGATTTTGGTGATTCATAAGCAGATCATACTAATATATTTGATAAATATTACAAATTATTGGTCTTTTTTATCAGCCAACCAATGTTTAAGTTCAATACATTGTTAATCTAAAGCATCTTAAGTTGTCAGTATGACTGCCTGTAATAATAAACATTTGTGTTTGTAGGTCCCTGAGATCATCAGTACGTTGAGGCATGTTGGGAAGAGCTCTGCTCGTAACGATGACCTTTCCACTTCCTCGTTATCTGGAGGACACAATCTTGATGAAAAATCCCTCAACAATTCTTCGGCCTCAAGTGGATCCAGCCTCTCTGGACTCATCTCCCCTACGACTTTTGCAAAAAAGTTTGAGGTTCTGTTCTGTGGCCGTGTGAGTGTAGCTCATAAGAAGGCCCCCCCGGCACTGATCGATGAGTGTATTGAAAAGTTCAGCCTGCTGCATGGCTCTGGGCAGAAGGAGGTGGATGGACTGGAGAGGGCCCTGTCGATCCAATACAATGGACCAGGAGCCACTACAAATTGTCCACAACCTTCAAAAAGCACAAAGAAGCCTGTGCTGTTCACACGGGACCCGAGCTTCCCCTCGTTACAAGCCCTGGATGAAAATGGACTTTCTCCAGAGATATCGAATAACAGCACTGCAGATGCCCAGGACAAATGTGCCGGAATACAGCCCACGAGTCTATTGGAAAACCGGACCATGCTCTTTACGGTAGCTTTTCATGTTCTTATACCAAAATATGTAAAAATCTCATGTAAAAAGATCACTGTGGAATTTAGTACAGCCCTGATCATAATTATACATTTATTTTCAGCTTGTCATCTTTCTTTTTTCTTTTTTTATGAATCAGCACAGTTTCTTTAAGGCTGACTGTGCATTCAAATTGACTTCTCAATCTGACCTCTTTTGTAACCACATTGTCACTTTAGGGACTTTCCTGTTCATACCGGAAACCCCAAAGCCAAGATAACACATTGATGCTGTCACTGTGGCTAAATCACTATCACAATATTCTACAATTATGTTTAATAGCATTATTTTTTTAAATAAAACTGAGCTATAGCAGAGTTGTTATACAATAATTGTTACACAAGTGAGAATGACACTTATGCCTAAAGGAAAACTGATTATTGTTAAGAATCAAATAGGTGTAAATCCTTTCAACAAAGAAAGCCTTTTTGACCATTAAATTGTGTGTTTAGGTTGGGAGGTCTCAGATTTATTTGGTCAGTCCAGACACCAAGAAAGTTGCGATGGAGAAAAGCTTCAGAGAAATATCCTTCTGCTCACAGGTTTGAAACTCTTTTATCAAAATGGTAGTTATTGTAATTAGGGCTGTAACGATTAATCAAATAATCAATTACTGTTCTATTTACAGATTTCACTTGAATTACTTGAACATGTTTAAATGTCAAATTTGAAATGATAAAATAGTGGAACTGAAATATTGTAATAATTCATCCATTTCATAGTTTTTTTTTCCGGGGTCCAAGAATTCAAAAATTGTGATGACTATACTTTAGCTTCAAATTTAGATGAAAGTTTTGCATTCTCAACAACTAATTGAATTTATTCAAAGGAAAAAAAACATCAGTCAAATATAACTAAGGCTAGTAATTAAAAAAAGATTACTTGTTGTAATGTTCTGTAACCTATGTACTTTTACTCCACAGGGTATTCGCCACGTCGATCACTTTGGTTTCATTTGTAGAGAAACAGTCGACGGAGGAAACTTCCACTTTATTTGTTACGTTTTCCAGTGTGCTGATGAAGTACTGGTAAGTTACTAACAATGGAAAAATATTGTATTTATTGTTTAATATGAATTTTATATACAAAACAATGAAAATGGTCTTAACATATTCATGTACCGTTTACGCCAGGGCTTTTTGCTTTTTAGGGGTAGAATGGCCAAAGAATTTTAACATAAATTGTAGTTTTTTCTAAGGATTTTAACATTATTGTGTTTGGGGTAAGCTTGTTCAACCATTACTTAGCATTCTTATAGAGTTTTTTCTTTGCTGTAATGAGTACTGTAATAATTATTTTCCTATAGTCAAAACCCTGGCCGTGCCTTGTCCAGGTGGGTGGAGAGATCCTTCCTCATGTGAATGGAGTGTCTCAGGTCTTGTTTACTGTGAGGGAAGGATGGAGCGTGAGATTGACAGAAGGATGTGTGCAGCTTTGCAGCTGCTTTATCAGACTGTTGTGGAGAAGAGGGAGCTGAGCCGAAAGGAAACGCTCTTGGATTTACTAGTCATATCTTCATTCCCTCCCTCACCTATAGTCATGAGCTTTGGATAATGACCGAAAGAACGAGATTTGCGGATACAAGTGGTCAAAATGAGTTTCCTCTGCTGAGTGGCTGGATGCTCCCTTAGAGATGGGATGAGGAGATCAGTCACACTGTAAGCTGCCTCCTCCTACGCAAAAGGAACCAGTTGATGTGACTCAGCCATGTGTTTTGGATGCCTCCTGGTCAAGTCCCTTTCAAGGTATTCCGGGCATGTCCCACCGTGAGGGAGACCCTGGGGAAGACGATGGGATTCCCCTGGATGAGCTGGAGGAAGTGCATGTGGATAGAGAAGTCTGAGTCTCTCCGCTCAGACTGTTGTGCCTGCGACTTGGCAATGAATAAGTGGAACAAAAAGGATGGATGGAAAACCTTAACCGCGTCATCTTGTACTTTTTACACTATCACATGGTGTTAAACATATTAAAGATCCACATCTGTCTCGGCAGGTAGATGAAATCATGCTGACTTTGAAGCAGGCCTTCTCTGTAGCAGCCATGCAGCAGAATGCAAAGACCCAAAGCCAACAATGTGACAGCTGTCCTATGCAACAGCTCCATAAACTTTGCGAAAGAATAGAAGGTAACTCAAATAATTCACTGTTTATGCATCGATGAACAATGAGTGTGATTTTCTCAGCGACCTATGTTGTTTTGTGGACTTGTTTAAATCTCTTTAAGGTTAATGTTGTGTCTAAACAAAGGTCTATCTGTCATTTTTAATATTCTAATCAGGCTTTTCTATTGTTTTCATCCAGGTTTGCATCCGTCCAAAACCAAACTGGAGCTACAAAGGCATTTAGCAACACTGAACAACAATGACCAAGCTTCAGTCTTTGAAAGCACTATGGTGTGTGATCTTTATGACTTCACTACTTTGACACTTATGTTTTCCTCAGAGATGATTCTTGAGTAAGACTATGGAAGATTTTTTGTGTCATCAGAGTTTGAATTTTTGAGATTTTTAACCCTGAAAAAGCATGTTTGAATATTTTTTTCTTTACATTTCAGTCACTAAAAATTCAGTTTACGAATTTCAATGTGATTTAAAATTTCAAAATGACATATTCACCTTCAAAATATTCAATTTTTTTTTTTTTTATGAAAAAAAAAAGATGGATTATTTGTTCCATCAGAAATTGAATTTTAAATGGACCTGAATTCCCTGAATAACCCTAACCCTAACCCAGCTCAAGAAATAAGGAGCCATACGGTGTTGTTACTTTATTTCAGAGACAACTCAGCAAATATCATTTAGTGTACAAGAGTTCGAGCTGTGGAACACATGTTTTTGTTAATTCCTTTACATGGAGCTCTTTTTCAAGTAACACGAGTGAGCCCTGTGGAAACTGCTACACGGGAAACTAGACCCAAATACTGTGTAACGTTTCCAACAATAACACTGTCCTTTGTTGCTATAATGTTCAAATGTGATGGTTTTCATGAACACAAACAAACACACACAGCCTAAATAAATAAACAGGAATATACAGCAATAATGATTTGAAACAAGCACATTTACCCAAAAAGACTAACTCATCAAATTAATGTAGTATCATCTTGTAATTCGCCTTGGTTTCATTACAATCCATTCATTAGAAATCCCATATCAACCTGTTAGATTCATGTTATCAACCGATGGACCTGCTGAAAGCTAGCGCCTGTCTTTACCTCAGTAAAATGACACATGCGCAGACCACCTGACAGAGCACATAACTCGTCAGAACACCGGATGTGTCATGTGCATTTTTCATTTTGACTGTTGAATTTAACATTATGAAATTGATAATCAGTGACTGAAATTCACAGAAAAAATATTCAAGATGTTAAAAACATTCAAATAGATGAATTCAGGTCCATTTAAAATTAAATTTCTGATGGAACAAATAATCCGTCTTTTTTTTTCATTGAAAAAAAAATGTGTTGAATATTTTGAAGGTGAATATGTCATTTTGAAATTTTAATCACATTGAAATTTGTAAACTGAATTTTTAGTGATTGAAATGCAAAGATAAAAATATTCAAACATGCTTTTTCAGGGTTAAAAATTTCAAATGGGAAAATTCAAGTTAAAAAAAATCTAAATCTGATGACACAAAAACCTTCCATATAAGACTCTCAATTAGAAGCAACAAAAGTAAGAGTAAGCTATTTTGGAGCTGTTGAATATTAGAATATTGTAAATAAAATAAAAAAAATAATGACTTGCAAAGACCAATACTTAATGTTCTAATAATATTTAGTTATGTTAAATATGATGTATTCTGAAGAATTTAGTAAATGTTCCTTTTCATTTGAGTCTGAAAACATTTTGTTGTCCGTGTCCTTGCATTTTATAGCATGCATACATCATGGATCTGGCATACATTCACCTGCAGGGGTTTAGGTATAAACCAAACCAGCTGGATTTCACCAAAGATACTGGCAACCCAAATAACTTGTATTATGTAATATGTTATGCTAATACTGCTTTTTGATTGGATAGTCGTCTGGAGAACCAAACCATTAAATGTTATTGTTTTATATTCTGTCTATTTCAAGTTAATTCTACTGTTTACCTTATGATTTTAACTAAAGTGACCCCTGCTGGTCCTGTAGCTCCACTCTAAAGCAAAACGTTTGCTGTTCCTTTTTCCCATAGAGGGCACGTCCAAGGGGGGACCAAGAGGAAAACGAACTGATAATGGCATCATTGAGACATCTTTATGAGGACAGACAAAAACACCACCATCACTCCTTATCTTCAGACTCTAAAGTGGTAAAGTTTTATGTTTGAACACACACACACACACACTCTGTTGTGTTCGCTGTTTCAGTGCAGTTCTCTCTCATGTGTAGGTGCATGTGGAGGCCCCTGGGCCTGAGACACAACAGCAGAGCACAAGTCGACTCGAGCAGTTGAAAAGCAGAGCCAAAAGATCCCTAACAGAATCTCTGGAAGGCATCTGGAAGGTTTGCATTCACTGGCACACTGTTTACAGTTTACTTTACTGTGAGTTACTGAATCTGCTCTGTCTGTTAATAGGGGAGCAGCAAGTCTCGCTCTCAGAAAGAGAACAGTGAAGGAAGAACCAGCAGCTCTGACCTTTCTACGATTGACAGTAGTCCAGAGCTCTTACCAGACCCTCAACTTCGGCCAAACAGCCCACTTAAGTACATACAATTACTCATTATTTTATACTTTTTAATTACTTATATATTTGTGTCTCAAAGTCAAAAATTGTAATATAAAATATACATAAGATCACAAGTAACACCCTCGATGTGTGAATCCAAACATCTTTCTAGTCTATGGTGACTGTCATAAGATACATAAATGTTATTACTTGATCAACAATTTTTCTTTATTTCTTTTGCTTCAAACCAGCTTTTCTTTCAAGCATTTTGTCACGTCCACAGATGCCACAACTCCACTGGTGACCTGAAGCAGGTTGAAGGCTCTCTGACCTCCACATTACCCCTTGACACTCCGTGCTCTCAGGGTTTCCGTCGTCGAGCCAGCACCTACAGCCACCCGCCCACTCCGACCTTAGCCGATCATGTGCCTGTTCTCACTATAACCGGGGCTCCACACGATTCTGCCTCCAAACCCAAGCTTGTGCGCCACTACTCTGTCAGCACTGATAGTCCTCATCAAAGCAAGTAAGAACAATTGTGATTTATTAATGTATATACACTTTACTATGCATCCTTCCATTTCCATTCACTCTGCTGTCTATTCCTCTTCCCTCAGTAAGGACTTTTTAAAATCAATTTAACCCAATTTCTTCTCAAACTGAGGCGGGCAGTTTGATGATGGGGAAGTGAACAGAGCTACTCTATAGAGACCGCTGTGAGCACAGGGGTCTCTACAAAGGAGCAAGCAGCTGTCGACTTGACCTGAGGCGTTGGTGCTGCTAAAAACTTTCGATACTATCAAAATGTCAGTTTACATGTCTGTTTTTACTTATGAAAATACAAACCAATTTAGTAATTATTGTGACGGGCTTAATTGAAGCCCATGACATGTTTTTTTATTCTCATCACTTACAATGAAAAAATAAACGGTAACAAGACATGATGATGTTTGTTCTTTGCTCAACTCTACTAATCAAAGTCCACAAGAGAGCTGTTGTAATGCACTTTAGCATGTGATTATGACAAAATGATCCACATGTAAATATGCTAGAGTTGGCATGTTTACATATTTACCTTGAGCTGTAAGTATACCATGTCAGGAAACGTGGGCTGAATGATACAGTAGTATTCTTCAGCCATGCAAAATACACCAAACATGATGAATATTAGTCCATACATGTGTCACTAAAATGTTGGTTCACATTTTACTCATTATCTTGTGTATAAAGACACTGTAAAAGTAAAAAGCAGTTAACTAGTAGGGGTGGGCGAATTGGGCAAAAACAAATATCTCGATATTGTTTTCCCAACTCCCTATTTAAAATCAATCATTGTTTCACAAAACGATCCGCAATGTTTTGCTTGCCAGGGCATCTAGGGATAGAGACAGTGTAGATCAAAATGACAGCTTTTTATTTGTAAAGTGCTGCACACATCTATGCACAAACACATATTAACATTAAAAAACCATCCAAACACATCCAAAAAGGCCTGCTCAATATTTACTGAAATTTAGAATTAAAGCAGTGATTGTGAATGGGCATCTTGCTTGCTCTAATTGTAATATGTATTGGAGATATGTGAAAAAAAAAAATGCTTTTTTGTCAATATATTTTTTTAAAAATCTTTAAATTAACTCTTGCAATGTTATTGGTATATATTGCCCTCCCCTATTAACTTGTCAGAATATTTTAACTTGAATGTGAACACTCCATGTTTGTAAGCTTGTGACTTATCTTTCACTTGCCAGTATGGCCACTGTGGTGCATATTCCTGGGTCTGGGCGTGGACAAGCTCCATTTAAAAAAATATTTGTTTATATATGTGTTGCAAAATTATATTATTAGAAATAGTGTAAAAAAAACATTACAATTGCCCATTCTGTAACGATTGCTGCTTTAAAGCAATTCATCTCCTGATCTCATTTCACATTTTTAGGTGTTAAATTTCAAAGTTTTTATTTGCACTTTTTGTTCTGAGTTTAGATTTGCTTCAACAAACTCCACCCTTCCACCTGTTTCACCCTATTCTTCAAACTCTACTTTGCTTCCATATCACCCCTCCTCTCCTCTAACAGGGGCTCGGCTTGGCAAAAAAGGGTGAGTGCATTCCACTGCCTTATCACTTCAAGGTTTTTCATATGCTTTGTTCTTCTTGTGTTTTTACATTTATCATCTACTTGTTTTCATCCATCTCTGTGTTAGTCCTCTGGGTGGCCTTCGCGCTCGTCTTCAGTCCTCTTCTTCTGTTCCTAATTTTCTGAAATTTCAATTCTTGGCTCCGGTTCAAGAAAATGAGAATGTTGTTGAATCAAAAACCAGGTATGCAGTAGAATTTTGAATGGTTGTTAATGTGTTACGTAAACTTACTTATAACAACCTATAACTTTCAAGTATTATTAGAGTAGAGTTAAAGCACCCACTTTTGTAAACCAACTTTGTAATGCGTTTTTGTAAGTGCTCATGGCTTTAACCCAAAGCCTGTTAAAGGAATGGACATTGTTAACTCTGAGATAAAGTAAAATAGTTTGGCTTCAATCTACATCATATTGGTGTTAATTTTATTTTCATGGTTTTTTTTGTAAATAAAGACCCTATCCCTGAATTCAGCTTTGTTTAGCGAATAGCAGTAACGTACCAGCCTCGCTTCTGATTGGGTCATCTTTGCTATGAGAAGCGTAATAGATGGCTCAGAATTCTGTCTTTTCTATGGTCTATGCTTCATCCAGAGACACACACACACACACACACACATGCTTTCAAGTAAATAATTTAAATACATCACATTTATTTATAAAGCACAATTCACACATGTGGTTGACATCTGATGTTGGTGTATGACCCTCATTGTTAGTGGTTGTAGTTTCTGAACAACATGTAAGTGTCAACCTTAATGAATGCAGTTTTTTCTTGTTATCTTCCTACATTGTCAGTGATGTCGCAGCCTTATCCACACCAGTGCCAATGCAAGACATGGGAGAGAGTCCAATGCGCGGACCGCGGCACTCATGGAGACAGCAGATCTTTCTGAGAGTTGCAACACCACAGAAAGGAACTGAAGCCAATGGTGAGAAAACTCTGTTACGCCTCTTTATAACCCTAGCTTGATTTATTTGTGTTCTCTCTTGTCATAGCTGTCCTGTCAGAACAGTTTCATCATAACTGGAAATACTGTTGCAAATAATCAGTTTGTGTGGGTGATCGTTATTTAATGCCTTTTCGTGACCACTTGAGGGCAGCAACAGTTAAAAGGTTTACTCCATTCGAAGCTCAATACCAAGGCTCGTGTTAGACATTGTGGGTAGTAAAGTAAGTATAGCCCTGCAAGTTCAAGTAATATAAGCAAGGGGTGTAACAATTTAGAATTGTCATAAATCTTATTGACGCACAATTTATCACTATTTGTAAAATTCATTTGTCAGTTTTTATTTATGAGAGTCTGTTAGATCAAGTTCGGGCACCAGAAAAGGAAAGCCACTATAAATGGTTCTGTCTAAGGTCAAGAAATCCAAGTTTATTTGAGAAACAAAGAATAAGAAGTATGATGCATCTTGTCATAGTTCAGAATTGCGATATACACATTGTTACACCCCTAAACTGAACCTTTTATTTATGATTTATTTTTAATTTCATGCACGGTCTTGCTTTAGAATACCACACTTATAATACAATACTCAACCTGTCAAAACAAGTGTTGTCCTCGTCCTGACTTAATTTCCCTTACATGGGGAGGTGTATGTTTTACTCGGAGGTTGGGGGGAAAAGTCCCACTTCCTGTTACATAAATGAATGTCTGATTTATACTGTGTGAGGTCATGGGTGTGTCGAGGCTTTGTGCTGGAGCCTCAGCTCAAGGTCGTGTTGACTGTCCACACAGATGGCTGAAGGAAAGCGCCGGCGTTGTTGACCCACTTTGCGTTAAAGTGAGCAAGTTGTCTTCAGAAGAACTTTCTGTGTTCAGAAAGCTTTGCTCAGGGAGGGGTTTGCGCTAATATACATATTGGTAGATGGTTTTAGATGACTACTGATAATGGACACATACCGATGGCGCTCTGCAGTGGAACTGTCTGTGTTTATCTAACTAATGTATCTGTCTGGCATGTCTTTGGCCACTTACAGCATAAGGGCCTGTTGTTTGTGTAGTGATGCTGCAGGTTTCAACACATACAAAACATTTTAAGAGACTCGGATTTACATTTACGTACATAATTTATTTAAAACCATGCTCTCCTCATATTTATTCTTCCTGTGAATAATTGTTTATATATCTAAGCATGTACACATTTTCAGAATGCAGACATTTATTGTATTAAATTACATATTCTCAAAGTCCTGTTACAAGCATGGTAATGTTACAGTAAAATTCCTCCAGATTACAACCGATACGTGTTTGGTGTGGAAGCCGTTACAGTCAACATAAAGTGAGAGAAGCACTTGTTTCTGAATTGGCCCATAACAACTATTCAGAAACAACACCGGCTATTTTGAGGTTTGGGATCCACCCTGTACTTTCGGGTGGAGTCGTAAAAAACACTTTTTCTGTGCATTTCTAACCACCCGGTAGATTTGTCCCTTTTATAAGTGTGTTCTGTATTTAGGTAACTGCCCAAATAACAACACAGGAAAGTCATTTGACGTGAATGTACCAGATACCTTCTCTTGGCCTATAATTCATGAAAGTGGGCTTTTGTGCAAGATGAACTACCAGAAAGTATATGATTAATGTTTAAATACTGGATATCCTACTTAGTTGTGTTATGTGTATTTGTGAGTGAATTAATTTAATCTTGTTTGATTGAATAAATAATATAGGTTAATTCTTCCAGGGCGAGGTGGGGACTTGTGCCTGGATGGGGATCTTGTGTGCTCAGGTCCAGCTGCTCTGGCTGCAGGAGAGCTGTGCATGAGGCCGGTGCCTGAAGAGCAGAATGTGAGGAGCAGAGAGCAGCTGAGGGAGCTGTGGAGGAAGGCCATCCTGCAGCAAATCCTGCTGCAGAGGATGGACCGCGAGAACCAGAAACTCCAGGGTAAGTTTGGTTCAAGATCAAACACTCCATCTTGTGCTGATAACAAGTCTATCCCTAAGAAAAAAATAAAATTGTGTCTTGATAATTGGTAACTTTCCCAAAGCAGCAATTTAATCCTTTAGTTGAGTTTTTTTAAATTCTCTTCTCAATGTTTGAATCTTTTTAATTTTCCATGTTCTATTGCCACTGTCATTATAACTTTTGTAGTTTGCGTGCATTTATTGGGTGTGGTCAAAACACATTTTTCTCCTGACTTATTTGGCACATAACCTCCTGTATTGTATACATGCTGTTAACCTCCACATTGATTAAAAATTATGTCTAGCAACAGGGCGTGGTGGGAATTTAGGTCAAAGCTTACAACTATATTTTCCAACACGCGCCTCCTGTTCCTCACAATGGTTCAAGGTGGAGCCGGCTCTCCTCTCCTCTCCTGATTTCATTCTTGTAACTAAACTTTGGTCATGCAGCAGGTTTTGTGTATCTTTGTCAGCTTCAGGATGTGTTATCCTGCCGAGTATTATCGGGGTGGAGTGCTGCACTGACAGACGCAGAGGAACGGACAGAGGTGCAGACTCTGAGGGTAGTGGCCGAGCAGCTGATAAGCCACAAACAATCATGCGCTGTTCTTCCTGTAGATTTGCTACTTGCTGTTATTCCTACTCCAGACCTTACGCTGGCTGCACAGTGCACACACATCTTTTTGTTTCCTGGAGGCTTCAAAATAAGCTTGTTATCGCTGTCTCCTGGTAATGAGGTCACTCCCCTGCAGCTGGTCACTGGGCGGACAACCCTGGAGCGGATAGGGTGGGACCTCTATTAGGGAATCAAAGAAAGAATGTGGTTATGGGAAAAATGCATACAGGATCAAAAATAATAAACATTGTTTGGATGCAGTGGGCACATTTCCTTACAGGGGTTATAAAGTAAACCGTAACTTCTTATTATACCAATAATATATTTTTGTAGTCTCAGAAAATAATCTGCAAAACAAGCGATTAAAGCTGGACTATGAGGAGATCACTCCGTGCCTGAAGGACGTCACTCTGGTTTGGGAGAAGATGCTGGGGACTCATGAAAGGTCTAAAGTCAAGTTTGACTCCGATACTGTACATGCTGCAGTTACACATGGTAAGTTTTCTTTACCTTCTCGTCCTACTGCCCACTGCTCAGGCTATTTTATGGATTGAGTCAGATTTATTGTATTGTATGAAAAGCACGGTGCTACTGTGAATGTAGTTACTTTTAATAATGAAATACAGTAAAAAGATTGAAAACCTTTTTGTATTTTGGCCATTCGGAATCTGAAACATTTACTCTCGAGCAGCTTGCATGCTTTATGATTGTTGTTGTTGCATGGTATTTGTGACCTGACCCCCCCTTTACTCTCGCCCTGCAGGTGTCCCCAGGCAACACAGGGGGGAGATTTGGAAGCTCCTCTCGGAACAGTTTCTTCTTCGGCAAACTGTCCGTTCACGACCTCCAGCCAACGACACTCCTTACAAAGAACTGCTTAAACGACTGACATCTCAACAGCATGCCATCCTCATCGACCTGGGTACCAAAACATTTTGCATTCCTTTTCTGTCAAACAACTAAATTTGTGAAACCGACACCTTTTCACTTTCACACACAAAGTCACACATGCGACGCCTGCGCTCCACCCTAACAGCGCCCACATCCACACACAATAAAGAGTTGCAGGGTTGATATGGAGAAGAGTCAAACCCGCCTCGATCCTCGCATACATCACAGCAGACATCTCCTTTAGGCATGGGAGGGATGGCTTACATTATTTTAACAAACATCAGGCACCTCCAGCACATTCCTGTCATACACACTCACACGGTGATCATTGTCTTCTCTCAGCACTGTAAGTCAAGAAGTCCAGCATCCCAAACACACACCGCTGCCAATTACATGTCAGCCGCCGTAAGAATGCCCCCACACACATCCCAGGTCCTTATTAAGTTGTCATGTGTGAAAAGAGCAGGGCCTCTCCAACTGAACATGTTAGGCCGCACTAAGTCTTTGCATTTGCACACTTCAGGAGTGCGTATTGAAGTGTTCGTAAGCATGGTTCTTGAAATGAGTTGGCACAAGCTTACACAGAGAGCCATTGTAACATCAACCCAAAGGTGAAGCATCCTGCGGCAAAGTTTGAGATTATACACATTATGTATTGAATGTACCTCCCTGTCCTGTGAGAGAAAACATTTGAATAATTTTGACTTGTAACATTACATACGATCATTGTCGTCCATCAATTGAATCCAAAAAATCAAAAGGTTCTTTGTCTGGCCAAGTATACTGCGTGTTTTATAGACTACTGTAATTATAGTTGTTGTTTCCATCCCAGGTCGCACCTTTCCTACTCATCCTTACTTCCAGGCTCAGCTGGGGGCAGGGCAGCTGTCTCTCTACAACCTGCTGAAGGCCTATTCATTGCTGGATCCTGAGGTGATCTATTTACTTCCTGATCTTTGAGAGCTTCAAAAAAACAATGTGCAAAGTCGCGTTTGGGTCAGGGCCGTCTTTGTCGCTGCCTGTTCAGATGTTAAGTATGTGTTTGTTGTTGTAGGTGGGCTACTGCCAGGGCCTGTCCTTCATTGCTGGAGTGCTTCTGTTACACATGGGGGAGGAGGAAGCCTTCAACATGCTGAAGTTTCTAATGTATGACATGGGCTTGCGCAAACAGTACAGGCCTGATATGACCATTCTTCAGGTACATTTCAACTATTTTTCAAAATCTGCTCAATTTTGTGTCGACAAATCTATTGATTTAAATGTAGATGTAGATTTTCTTACACAGCATGTGCATACACTTAACTGTCTTCCTGTTTACGTTAACAGTACACCTTATTTACAATGGTTGTTAGGCAAAGATACATGCTTCAATGAACATTCTCTCTTCTGTTCAGACTTGTGCACAATATTATAGTGTACATTATAGTCCTGTCTGTTTCCTTCCCATATGGAGTTTGTGCCTTTGAGCACAAAGGTAAAATTAGGAGACACACCTTGCATGTTACAGTCTCTCATACTGCGTTATTATTGCATTGAAATCTATTGCACGATATTACACGTCCATCATCACAACAGCAGTCACTAAACCAACATTATTTTGTTTATGTTGTGTTTGATATTTTGCAGATTCAGATGTACCAGCTGTCACGGTTGCTCCACGATTATCACAGGGATCTGTACACTCACCTGGAGCAGCAGGAGATTGGGCCCAGCTTGTATGCTACCCCCTGGTTTCTCACCGTCTTTGCGTCTCACTTCCCTCTTGGCTTTGTGGCTCGAGTCTTTGGTAATTTTAACTTTGGTCACTTTATTTTGTGAAACATCATAGTTATATATAAACTGAGTAGATAGAAAATGCATGCTTTCACTTTTACCATCACCATGAACAGGAATGACCTTTGGGTTGGAGTAAATTCTTATTATTTCTTGCTCAATTTCTTCAGTGGTACTTTCTCACTGAACAAGACTGGCCTTCTCCTTGAGCTTATCATTCTAACGCCACAATTGCATGAGTCTGTGTCGTTATTGTGATCATTGTGGAGCCTATGGTATCAAATGTGACCGCCAAATATCCCCTCCCATTCTTAATCTGTTGTATGATCTTGCGCCCAGCCCTTTCCACACCCTGCTCCATTCAAAAGCCTCCACACAAATACACCTACAGTTTCCACATAGCCTCCTCGATCTGTTTGTTTGCTTACCCTTTTATTTCTGACGTCAATGTATTGATTATACAAACCTTCTTAAGTCCTTGATCAAGCAAGTTAGCTTTGCACACTGACGGGCAGCCTTTGTCAAAGTGGTGACATGATACCAATGTGTTCTTGTTGACCTGAATTCAACCCTGATGTTGTTTTTTCTGAATTTGTCAGATATGCTATTCCTCCAGGGCTCTGAGGTAATCTTCAAGGTAGCTCTGAGTCTACTGGGGAGCCACAAGCCTCTTATCCTCCAACACGACAGCCTGGAGTCCATCGTGGACTTCATCAAAACCACGTTGCCCAATTTGGGGTTGGTGCAAATGGAGAAAACGATCAACCAGGTTTGTATCTGTGAAGTTCAAGCATCTATGTAGCTAGGATTTTTTGGGGGGGTTAGTTAGTTTAGTTTATTTGTAATTCTATTATGTATTGAACATTATGATCCCAGTGATCATTTCGGTCACTGTTGGTAGAAGTATGTTTAATAATGCACATGTTGAGTCATCTCTCAAATGACTGTGTGCTTTGTATTAATCTTTTTACTTAGCTTACCTGAACTAGCTAAAGCTAATAGGTCTCACTCAACCATTGCTGTTCTAAATGAGTATTATATGGTCTTGAATGATTTTCAAGACTTGTACAAGTAGACTAACAAATGAAACAAGTATTTATTCATATACGACTTGGTATTCCTCATATTGAAAGAGCCTGAATCTGCTTGCTTCAGATTCAGTGCCTTATGTTAATACAGCTTGAACTTTTAGACATTTTCTCCATCTTTTTTAAACACTGCAACAAAGTAACAGAAAACTGAAGTGAGAGAAAAATTAGGGATGATTTTTATGTTTTATTTTTTTCATGGACTTCATGATGCTGTTTTCCGACCAATTCAGTCCAAACAGTTCTGAGGTCCTCACAGAACAGCTGTCATTATACTCAGGTCAAATATGCAGCCAGAGGTGACTTACTGCACTCAGAGAAATGCCGTATGGCCGGTTATGCACACCCTACATCTCAGTTTTTGATTAATATCTTTGTTTCTTCACATTTGAGTTTTTTGACTTTTTTACTGTGTCTTGCGAAACAGCCATTGGTGCCGTTCCTTTACATCGCTAGCCATCGATGAAACGATGTAACTAAGATTCTGGTCTGGTCAACATGTACACATCATATATGACCTTTTCCAATCCGATTCCATGCTGATTTATTTTCATAGAATTTTAAACAATGGACATGAGATTCACGTTGTAAGCATGTCTCAGATTTCCCATCAGAAATTAAAATGTCTCTCTCATTTGGGTTTGTTTGTTGAAATCCAGCTGGTTTAGTCTCTACCTGAGCTCAGCCGCTGCAGAGTGTGATTGGTCAGAGCCAGTGATGTGTTTGGTGTAACATTTTACATCAGTAAAAAGTTAAAACTGTAGGGTGTTACTTGAAAGGACTTAAGTAACAACAGGATTCAATTGATAAAACATTAAGAAAGATATGTATAATGGAAAAAACAAATCTTAGTTTCAGACAAAGCAGGTTGTCTTTGGTTTCGTTTATTATTGTGCACCTACGCGGTTGTAGGCGTGACGTTTTAGGTTATTACCGGAACAAACTTATGCATTTTGAAAAGCTATAAATATCAGCCACTCCCAATTTGTCATCTAAACCTTTATCAACAATCCTGTACTTGCCTTGTTCAAAAACTGTAGAGCAGGAAATTCCTTCCATGGTAACGTACATGTATGACCTGTACCAATACCCATTATCTGTGAAACACTTTTTTTTTTTGTACAGGGTGGATAAATTCCACCACTGTCATAACTTTAAATGACATAAAGTTTAAACGACATCCTAGACTTAACCACCTTGACAAAAACTGATTTAATTTGGATGAGATGTTTCTCACTTCATGAGTCAACCTGAGCTGAATAGTTTAGTCAGCCACTCTATTGTTTTTATAAATAAAAAAAGAGAAGTGGTGCCTCGTTTTGAGTTGTCTTCACAATTGTCTATTTGTTTCTTTCACATACGATGCCAATGCCTTGTGTGACTATCTTCTTCTATCTGGTTTAGTTCAGCACTTTGAGTTGCCTTGTGTATGAGTTGTGCTATATAAATTAACTTATCATGTGTTGTTGTAATAAGACAAAGTGTGCAGAAGTTTACGGGTTATGAATATTTCCTTGTGTAGTGGTTTTCAAATCTTGAAATATTGCTTCTGTTTCAGGTGTGTGAAATGGATTTATCAAAGCAGCTCCAGGCTTACGAAGTGGAGTACCATGTTCTCCAGGATGAACTTCTTGACACGCCACCCACCTTCAACCAGCAGCAACGGTCCGCACAGCTTGAGCGGACCAATCAGAGCCTCCGCCAACAGAACCTGGACCTTCTGGAAGAACTTCAGGTGAGTGCAAGGTTTATGCGTGTCAGAAGCTCAACATGAATGGACCCCTCCTCTTCCAGGTGTCGCAGGCTCGAGTGGGCAGCCTGGAGAGCAGAGTGGAGGCTCTGGTCCAGGCCGATGGTCGGCTGAGGGAGCAGGTCTCAGGGCTGGAGCAGGAGAAGCAGCAGCTGCTGTGCACAGTCTCTCAGCTCCAAGACCTCCTCCACAGCCTGGGCATCCACACCTCTGCAGATGGACAGACTCTTTCCCCTGCAAATGTAGACAGTCACAATCCAGGATGCTCTCCTGCACACCCTTTAGCTCTTCCTGAGGCATCCTAGTCCCACTGCTATCACACACAAATTTTTCAACGCCAACATTCAACCTGTCCACATGTCCAGATCTTCACTTGTGTGTCTTTGAATGTCCATGCAAAAATGTCCTTCAGCAAGAGAAGCCTCTCCACAGATGGTGTGAAACACTGATTGCAAAGTGCTGCGTTAAACTTATTAGGTCCAAGGTATTGTCTCTAGTTTATATACTTTGTTTGATTCCAGTGTGTTTTAATTTTTACGTTTCTATGTTGTTTCCAAAGCACTGTATATATGTTAACGTCTCACTTTAAGGAGTTTACCCAAAGAACCACACACTGTTTTACTGCCCATTCAGAAGTTGGTTTTGAAATACTTTGCTAATTCAGAAGATGCCTCTTTAGAGCGCCAGATCAATCCAAGCCAGTGTCTTTTTATGACTATATTTTGTGTTAATGATAAGCTTGAGTGTACACTGAATCTCTGCCACCAAAGCTACTACAGTATCTGATCTTTGAAAATGTTACTTTGCATCTGTGCTTGTCACTCACTGTAACTATTAAAGAAGCTATACCCGATTTTTTTTCTAAGTAGTTCATAAAAATGCTTTTTACTACATACAAGTTGTATCATAATACATAATTTAATTGAAAACTTGAGGTCATTGATTCCACTGTGTATGAAATTCAGGCAGTGAAAAGTGCTGAGTAGAGTCTGAGCGGGCCGCTCTTTCTCCTCCACTCACAGAACGAGCAGCGAACAGTCTGCGTCCTCTAGCCTCTACAGCGCTGCTTAACACCAGGGCTTCGACTTCAAAATTTTAATATAATTCTAAAATAAAAAATATATACATATTTGAACAAATATTAGACAACCCTTATAATTAGAAATGTATTTAATGACTGCAAATAAAATAGTTAGCTCCCAAAGGTTTCACCGGGACGTGCTAGGCAGGTAACAGCTAAGCTAGCTAGCTGTTTCATGGTAACTTCCGGGTTTTTCGCGATCGCTTTTTGTCACTTTAAAACAGTATTTTTGTCATGAAAACGTTGACAGCAAATTCTGAAATCGTCCGTGCATGTGTGTTAAGGATGTATCTGTATACTGTATTGTCCGATTGACGTTTAATGGTGTTGATTGATTGATATGTATTTGTTTATTGAGCGTGGCTAGCTCCGCTAGCTTCTCTACACAGACAAGTGTGCAGAGAAACTGCACAGTGTAGTGACAGGCGCTGATAGCTTGTTGTACTTGCAAAGTAATGGCAGTATTTTACACACCTGAATTACAAACAGAGATTGCATTGGGGCTGCGGTCATTATTGATTTGAGAGTTCTGTTATCAAGAAAAAATGATCGGTAGAATTGCATTCAAGTCAATGGAGTGCTGCTGCTGTGAGGAGCTGTATAATAAATTATAATTAAATATTAGAATATATTCTAATGTTTAAATTAATACATCCGGACGCGAAACGTATTCTTTTACTTATATATTGTGTTAGCAGTGCATTGCTTTAGTGCCATTTCATCAGTGATTGTTGCACAGCTTACAAGTTGCGCTAATGCTAATGTTAGCATATGTATCAGATCACAAATAAAGCTAGGTGGCTCCGTGGGATGAGAGAGTAGGGGAAATGAGAAGCCTGTGAGCGAGCTGGGGGGCGGTGCTAAACATTCAAACATTGCAGAAATGGGTATAGCGCCTTTAAGATATTTTACTTGCACCTTGTTTCTTTGTTTTAATGATTATTCAGTATCTTTAAATACACAATACTATTCTTTCATTGTGTTTGTGTGTGTTTGGGGTTACATTGGTTTTACTCTTTGTTGTGTCTATGAAATTAGTCATTATATTATGATTATCACTCTGATGTTACGCAATTCAATAATTTAGTATATTTTTTCTTTTAGTAATACTCTGCATTTATACAAAACATTCTGATCGTCTATTTCCCTTTGCATACATACAGTACAGACCAAAAGTTCTCATTAAATAAGTGCCCTTTCTTTTCATGACTATTGACTGTAGATTTACACCAGGCTGTGTAAGGGCTATTTGACCAATAAGGAGAGTGATGGTGCTGGGTCAGATGACCTGACCTCCAGCCACTGGACCTGAACCCAGATGATTTTGGGATGAGCTGGACCACAGAGTGAAGGCCAAAGGGCCAACAAGTGCTAAGCATCTCTGGGAACTCCTTCAAAACTGTTGGAAGACCATTTCAGGTCACTACCTTTTGAAGCTCATCAAGAGAAAGCCAAGAGTGTGTGAAGCAGTAATCAGAGCAAAAGGTGCTACTTTGAAGAACCGAGAATATAAGACACATTTTCAGTTTTATAGTCTTTTTTTTTTTAGTTCGTACATAATTCCACATGAGTTAATTCATAGTTTTGATGCATTCAGTGTGAATCTACAATTTTCATAATCATAAAAATAAAAAAAACTCTTTGAATGAGAAAGTATGTCCAAACTTTTGGTCTGTACTGTACATCATAATCAAAGGTAAACAATCCAGTTGGCTTCATTCTATTCAATGTATTCTTGTATAGCCCTAAATCATAACAGTAGTTATCTCAATGTCCATAGTTGTTGAAAGTCGAATGTCCTGGATCATCACCACAGTCCTCCTTGTTAGACACTAACAGTCTAACACTCTCCTGCATCTGCAAGGAAAAACTCTAAAATCCAGTGGGAGAAAAGTGAGAACCCCCCACATTGAGAGAGGGATCCTCTCCATAAGGACGGTCAGGCTCTAGATATTCTGCACGCTTCTTATTCTGATATATTATTTTATGTATTTAAATAAAAATAAAATAAGGACAACAATAATGTTATCAGGTATTTTGAGAACATCCATCCATTTTCTTCCCCTTAATCCATTTCTGGGTTGGGGGGTTGACAGTCAGAGCTGCACCAGCCCATACATGGCATAACACATAGTACCAGCCCCTTTTGACAATAGTGTTGATGAAATAAACATTTTCCAATTCAACAGAAATCAGGACGCTCCTTTTTTCTTTGCAACAATTCTTCTGTGATTGATGGGCAACTTGCTGCCAAAGCCACAGCTCCGCCCTGTCGTTGACCACAAGGAGTCTTCCTGGTTCCAAAGAAATATCTTCAGCCCTCATATTTGTTTCACAGCCTCATGTCTCCAGTCAAGAGCTGTAATTGTCATAATTGCACCTGAACTATATTGAAAATGTTTTACACTTAACATGCTTAAAGGGATTCCATAAAATTTAACTCTCAATGCTCTGCCAGAAAAATATGTGAAAAATATGTGAACATACCGTCACTAATGGACTGAGGCATGACGCCAACCTTATGACAATGACAAGTTTTTTACTGAGTGATCTGATAAGAACTATATGGAAGCCCGTTTCCACCATGTAAAAAAAAAGCCTACAGAAACTTATTATTTTGAGTTTTAAACTCAAAATTCTGAGTTTTAAACTCTTAATTACGACTTTAAAACTAAGAATTTTGACTTTTGAACTCCATTTTTTTTTTTTTTTTTACATGGCGGAAACGGGCTTCCATAGAACTAAACATGTCAAAACCTTATGACAATGACAAGTATTTTACTGAGTGATCTATATGGAAGCCCATTTCCGCCATGTAAAAAAAAAAAAACTAAACATAGAACTAAACATGTCAAAAACAACTGTTAGGATTTAAGCAGACAGAGACGGATCGTGGTGTGCCAAACTCTGGAAGTTTATTTACGTTTCTCTCAAGTTCCACTGGTTTACTCTGTTTCTTCTCCTCAGACAGAATAAAGGCAGTACACAGTTTATATAGTCATTGTCACGTCACACATCGAAAGACATACGTGTCACAAAGAGACAGTCACATCATAGTCATAACATGGAGTCCTTGTAGAGTCCTTGTACAGTCCTGCACGTAGGCCATATTGCTATCTAATACTAACACCCTCCCCTTTGATCACATAATCACATGTGATCATTCAAATCGATCAATCAATAAAGTGGAAAAAGAAAAAAATTCTAAAAAAAAAAAAAACTTTACAAAATTATTAAAAAACAAAGAAAATGTATGCATTAAACTCATAATCATCAAATCAATATCAGTGGATTTTATCCTCTATCCTGGGAAAAAACAAACAAACAAAAACAAATCAAAAATAAAAACAAACAAACACACTATTGGACACCCAAGAACTCAGCAGATTCAGTCAAAACACAGACAAAAACGAGCTGAGTCTCAAATTTGAAGCTAATTTCACTTTTATTACTCTATACTTTTTTTCTAATGCTGATTGTTTACACTTCACTCCACTGTATTGTTTTCACTTTTCAATCTTAGACTGTGTACTTTACTTTTACTATTCACTATAGTTTAAAACTATTCTAATCTATTTACAAATATGTTTGTATATTTGCTTCTATTGAGCCATATTCTTAAACATACATTTTAATCTAACAAATCTCTCTGTGGTATTATACTCTCATTATCAGTGGCATATTATCAGTGGGATTTTGCTCCATGTCTACTCTCATTCTCAGGAATAAAACTGTGAACACAGTAAGGCAAATGGTCAACATTTACACTTCTATAGTGGTCAGTGATTTATTACTTTTTATTATCTAAAGATATTATTGTCAGGCAGTTTGGGATGAATGTACATCATTAATCAAATTAGTATTATCCTTACAAGAGCTAATCTATTTTAGCAGGTTTGGGGTTGGGGTCAGTTATTCTACAATGGTGTTTGTGCTGGAAACTTCTCCATATCTAAATATCTACTATACTGTTTTTGTGCTATACACAAATACATCAAAATGCTTTTAAATGCTTTTGAATCTCTGTTGGTGCTAATCTATCTCATTAATCTAGGCATTAATCTAGGCTACACTCATATGGACTTTTTGCATAGTCAACATTCACTCATGTGTGAACACAAGTGAATTTGGCAAGTATCTAATAAAACTGTACATAAACTGTAATTAACTTTATCTACTTTTGAAGTAATGCTTGTGAAATGGTCCCTTTACCATTTGATATTA